ATTCAGACTAAAGATATGATAATGTATTATACATGTATATATAGTAAGAGAAACTGAATGGGTCAGGTGAAAGGAGACAGAACAAGGGCCAGCATCCAGGTCAGGATGCATGGTCATGACACCTTGGCCTCAGCAACTCAAGGGGAGCACTGTGCCATTGCTGGTTGTCCTGTTGGTCCTTAATTTCAGATCTAGTGAGGGGAGAGTCTCTAGGGGGCATTCTAGTTGATTCCAGACTGAGGTTACAAGTTACTAAGTACATTGTATATAAAGGAGGGGTCCAGAATCAAAAGGAGCAAGGGTAATCTGAAAGGAGACAAAGGGAGGTGGAAGGGGGAACAACACTGAGGGTCAAGGGTTTGACTCAATGGTGTTTCCCAAGGAGGCATGAAGGGCCAAGGAGGAAGGAGGGAGGATGGGAGTGGGGAATGGCTAGCTGACTGAATAGAAAGAAGCAGCAGCCCAAATAGGAATGAGGGACAATAGCAGAATTGAATGGGACAATACAGTAAGAACTGCAAGGTTGTCAGGGCACACACCCTGACTAGCCTGGACCCGGACCCGCATGTGTGCTCCACCCTGCATGCTCCGTGCGCTGCATGCTCTGGGCCCGGTTCCTATTCCTCATGTGACTTCCAGGTATCCCTGGAAGTTTTGCTGATATTGGGGCCACTGTGGGAAGATGAGAAGTTAGCTTCCTTCTCATCTTCTTACCCACAGTAGTAGGTTGTGCCCTGGTGTCAGGGCACACCTGCCTGACCCCGCACTGCACCCCACACCACACCGCCCTACTCCACTCCCCCCGCTATCACTCCCCGTCCCTCCTTTCCCCTTTTCCCCTTTTCTCTCTATTTCTATTCTACAGTCGATTTCCCTTTTCTCCATGTACCACTACATACCTAACCCCGCTCCCCTGATCGCTGCATGCACCACACGCACTCCCACCTACTGAGCAGCCACCTCCGGGATCTCCTGCAGAGACACCCAGGGAGGTGCGGCTGTGTGCGGAGATGATGTGACCCTAACTGCATGTATATAATAGTGCCTGGGGTGGGAACAGAAGAAGCAGCCTTCTTCTCAACTTCCCACTTCAGACTAAGTGGTCGGGGACGCTCACCCTGTGACGGGATCGCCGCTATGCACAGCCGACATCTGTCCCACCAAGTCCCTCGCACTGGGACTTTGCCGCTTTCAGAGCTGTCCCTGACACCTGGATAGGGCTGGTTACACCAGTAGGCTGTGGACCATAGGGGAGGGTCATGGGGACCTGGGAGTCATCCCCTGACAAAGGTCCAAAATAAGTCCAGAAAGTCTGAACTTGGAAGTCAAACTCCAGAATATTGGCAAAGGTAAATAAATGGAATTAGCTAGCCAATACAATGGGTATAAGCGGAGGTGGGGTCAAAGTCTGAGGTCGGAGCTAAGACTGGAATTCCGAGATGGAGATGCAAATGGGATTCCAGAGTGGAGGTCCGGAGTTGGGAGCATAGATGTTGCATACTTGTCTGGAAGGTGTTGAGGTTGAGGTTGGACCTGGAATGGTCCGGAGTTGGACCAAAGGTGGTGTTGGAGCTGGAGGTGGGATAACCTCTTGGGAGTTGGCAAGGGAGAGGGTGGCAAAAGGGAAGTGGGGCTCCAGAGTCAGTTTTGGAGTTCCAGGAGCCCAGAGTGGAGGTCAGGATTGTATGGATATGACAGTTGACCAGTGCATGGTAATGGGTGACCATGGGAAGTTGGATGCATGGGTGCATGGCCAGGCATCCTGGAGCTGCCTGGACTATATTGTCAGGGACAGCTCCGAAAGTGGTGAGGTCCCAGTGCAAGGGACTTGATGGGACAGGTGTTGGCTATGCATAGCGGCGGTCCCATCACAGGGTGAGCATCCCCAACCACTTAGTCTGAAGTGGGAAGTTGAGAAGAAGGCTGCTTCTTCTGTTCCCACCCCAGGCACTATTATATACATGTGGTTGGGGTCATGTGGGAGGAGCCACATCATCTCTGCACACAGCTGCACCTCCCTGGGTATCTCCATGGGAGATCCCGGAGGTGTGCCGCTCTGTGAGCAGGAATGCATGTGGCAGGCATGGCGATCAGGGGAGCGGGGTTAGGTGTGTAGTGGTACATAGAGAAAGGGAAGTCAACCGTGGAATGGAAATAGAAAGAAAGAAGAAAAGGGAAAAGGAGAAACGGGGAGTGATAGCGGGAGGAGCAGAGTAGGGCGGTGCAGCACGGGGTCAGGTGGGGTTTGCCCTGACATATATCCCTCTCCTAAGGAGGTGGGATAGGCTATAGCTCCTGATAGGAAGCTGCTGGATGGATGGGAGTGACCACTCAACCACCTGGTGGGCTGGTGGGAACAGGTAGTGAGAGGTTGGGCATGGGAACAGCCTCCTCACTGCAGTTTTGTCATGGAGAGTAGGAATGAGGATGTGGACATGACTCCAGGGTTACAGATATGGTTACAGGTGATGGCACAGTTGAGTGGCAGGTACAATCACAATACAAGGGTTTGTAGGTTATGTATTCAATAAGGATCAAACATTTCAGCATTTGCCTTTACATGTCATATGACTGGTTTCTATCTAATATCAAAGTTTCAATGGTCAAGGGAAGTCCCTTGAAACTTAACAATTTCCAGCCAGCACCAAAACCCAGTGGGAAAGCTTGGCATGGGGTTTTGGCAGAGAAGTATAATAATAAAGGACAGAGACAACCTACCTATAGGCATGGACCATAAGATTCTAGGTCCATTCCTATAACACTTCTCCCCTGTCAAAATTACAGCTCTATACTGCCTATATTTCTGACAGCTTGAGGATAGCAGGAGTCAACACCAGGTCAGAACCTCAACCGACCCTTCAGTCATGGAGTGCACATCATCACCCCATAGGACTTCATCAGATCCAAATGCACATCTCAACTGCACCAAAAGTGCTGCAAGCTTGGCCATCCAGTTTGAGGGGAACCCTCATAACAATTGTAGCCTGGTATGTAATTATGGGGGAGCCAGAGTGACCTGCAGTGCAGGTAACATAGGTGCTGCCTTCGATTGTAGCAAACCTAAAACATTCCCCCAGTACATCCCGCAAAAAATCACGTGTTTGGCGAATATGAAAATGATGATATTTTTTGAATCTGCCAATTACAACATTGCAACATGAAGGAAATGAATAGGATGCAAGCATGAAGATGCATGGGCAGGTGCCCAGGCACCTTGGGGCATTTAAGGGAAGGGAAAAGAAAGTTGTGTACAGTAAGAAGAAAATAGTGGATGAAGATTGCTGAGGCCAGAATACTTTTAAGATGAAAAACTTCCAAAAGGGGTGATCAATGTGTAGCTGCTTTTGACTTCGTGATCAACCCCGGATCCGTGGCTGAAATTAACCCTTTATATATTACTTTTAAGGCCAAGTACATGTGAGGTCTACTTGGTCTAGTGGGTTATAGCGCTGTTTATAGACCCCTCTGCTTGTGTGGGTTCGATTCATTCTTGGTGGGGTTTTTTTGCCAGAGTTATTGCACAAGGATGACTTCAATGTATATATAATAGCGATAAGCAATGCTACACTAACTACACTAAACAAACCCTATGCCAAGCATGTTCTACAATACACAAGCATTGTGATGGTAATTAATAATCTTGGTTTTGTCAAGGGGGGTCAGTTATGGAAATCCTAAATATCATGTCCCTTTTTAGGATTAGGGCAGTGTGCAAGACCCCCCCCCCCTCTTCAATTCAATCGGCAGTATCCATCATTTCGGGAGATGCCGGTTCCCAAATTTAGGAATTTGGTCTGGAGCAAGAATTGAAATCCCAATTCATCCAAAATACTCCAAAACTTCTTAAATTCTCATATGGGCCCAGCAAGCACTCCATCTCAAATGAACACATGTGGAAATGTCCCACTAAAGTGTATTGAAATTATGAACTAGTCACATATAAGCACTCAGTTTAAAGTACATGAACTACAATGTAATTGATAATTACCTAACCAATCAGACCTTCGCCACCAGCCAACCCTTTTCTGCTGTCCAGCTTCTTGCCTTCAACCGCCCTTCACTGCTGACTGACCTTTTTCTGCTGACCAACCCTTCGCTCTGACCCACCCTTGTAAATGCGGCATTCCAAATATGGCAACCTGCTTCAGCGGTTCACTCACAGTCCAGATGTAATATAGAAAGAAATATAACTAAAATACACACAGCACTCCAGTGCCCATATTTATACTCCTCAATAACATTCCAGGCTCTTCTATGCCCAGCACTAGAATATTCCCAGTTTAGTCTAATCATGTGACTCGTATTCCAACATTCCTTCTCATAACATACACTCTTCACTTAACAATCGATTTCTCACTGTACATAACTTAATCTAAAATGTCGTCTGAAAATAGGTTTTGCCCTCTCTCATGAACCCCCCCCCGTACCCTGTGTTCGGCATTTCCCGAAATGACACCCCTTTGGGTTTTGTAATTGGGTTGGGTTGGGGAATGACAGGGAGGGGACAACGTACATAATAACATCACATGTAGGCAATGGACTTGTGCGGCCCTGATCACGTGTATATTTCCTTTTGCGCTCATCTCAGGGGGGTTTTGTAGGTTTTCTATTTTTGAACTATTTTTGCTTTCGGCACATGATCTTTGCGGGACGGACTGGGGGAATGTTTTAGGGTTAGCCTTCGATTGTAACTCTGCTCTCTGCATGGGTGGGCAATCGGCCATGGTGCATGGTCAGGAACTTCCTCTCCAGCTCGATCTATGAATTATGTCATTGCCCATGCTTGTAGACATCCTAGATGCCCCCTCGTGGGCATGAACGTGGTCACTTTTCGGATCCGAGAACAAGGTAACATCTGCGAGGCTGACATAAAAGTTGTAGCGGGAGCGACAAGTTATCGTCCCATCTAACAAGGCTCGAGTGATATTAGCTTTCGGGGTTCGGTCAACCTCGCGCACATGCATGGCACACACTTTAATCAAAGCTGGAGGCTTATGTTTTGGAGATCGTTGCATGACTCTCAATAGTGTTGGATGTCGACGTCGTCGTTCAAAATGAAACATCGAAGACCCAGCACTAGGCCAATGCATGTTACATATGATTTTGATAACACAAGCAGCAAGACAGACCGATAGAATCTTGCTGGTTGTTTTTTTATAGGTCCGCCTTCAGTCACTTTATTCGCTGTGAATGATGGCGATTGATTCTACCTCGCGTGCTACGGAGGTTGACTTCTTCAAGCATAGTGTTACATGTTTCGCAGCTTACTTAGATCACGTATTTCGTCTTCTGGCAACGATTTCGAGGGTGTTCAAGAGTGCCGTCACAGCTTCATCTGTGATCTGGTGATGGATGACTATGCGTCCTCCGCACTCTAACTTGATGCCCTGCCTGCCTGCCTCTTCTACCAGCCAGGAGTCCAAAATGCCGGCCGCCCCCAAGTCAAGGAGGAGCATGGAGGTGTCGACAGGAAGTACTGTCCGTATTCCAAGCCCCCGTGCAAATGCCTGTCGTGAACATGTAATGCAAAATAGCAAGAAAGGAACGGAGCCACACTGACTTCAATCTTTTTCGCCTTCTTGTGACTTTCCAGTAGACCAGTAGGAAACACGTCTTCGTATGCGGCACGGGCAGCCGCAACAATCAACCCAACCTGCCGCATGCCCCCTCCGATGGACTTGCGAACCCACCGTGCATAGCGAATCAGTTCTTCATTTCCGACGAGTATGGAACCGATTGGCGCGCCTAGACCTTTCGAGAAGCAAACAGAAACTGTATCAAAACATCTCCCGTATTCCTCGAGTGTTCCCGCTCCGGCAGCGACTGAGACCGCATGCTACTTAAGATGTCATGGTAAGCCTCAACCGTGTTTGGCTCACCAGCATTCCATAGTCTCGCCCCATCCAGGTGCAATTTTACCCCATGTTGCCGAGCGAACGAGGATATTTTTTGAATTTCCATTAATGGCAGTATGGAGCCTCCAAGAGGGTTCTCTAAGCTGATGACTTTAGTAGGGGAAGTGTGTATGTCGTCTGAAAGTGTAATGGAGTCCTTAATGTCCTCTAGGGTAGCATAGATCCCATTCTTGGGCACTACAAGCTGGAGCATTGCTTGACTAAGGCTCGATGCTCCCCCCGCTTCTGCAACTGCAATGTGGGCTCTGTAGTCGCAGAGTACGGAGTGTGGGGGCCTCATTAGAAGCGAACGAAGGGCGAGCTGGTTTCCCATCGTCCCAGAAGACACGAACAATCCAGCTTCATGCCCTAGTAGCATCGCAATTTGTTGCTCGAAGGATGATGTAGTCGTGTCCTCTTGATACACATCTGAAGAATCTGTCTAGCCAATTTTGGAAAAAAGGGATGTAGCTACCTACCGTCTCCCACACTAGATGATACCATTGCTCGTAACATAGAAGGTGTAGGTGTTGTTACCGTGTCGCTGCGGAAATCGCACGCAGAGGGACTTGGGACGCACGATGCTGAGATGTTTGCTGGTGCCATTTGTCTGAGATACTGAATTTGGGCTGAGTTCCGTGGGAACACAGAGAGTGCTGTATGTCTTCGAGCAAGCGTTAAGAGCACTCTTGCACAAAAGTTTAGAGTACTATGCATGGCTGCATACAGGATTTTAGTTAATTTGTTCCCACGTCATTCTATTCATCGCGGGAACTCATTCTGCTATGAGTGGACTTAAGTTGGCCCATCTCGCGCTTTTTGGTGTTGGCGTGGCAGCAGGTGCTGCTGTCACTTCTGCAATCGCCAGAAAGCCGCATGCTCCCAACGTTCCTTCCAAGGATGTGGCATCGCCTCCACCCCCAGCAATCAAGAGTGAAAATCTGAAGTTCGGGGTCCCCGGTTTGTGCTTGCAGCATTTGAGGCCCTCGCGTGACTCTCATTCCCTCGTTATTTTCGGTACGGATAGGGCCAATATTTGATTTAATTGAGCGAAAGGTGTATGTTGCTGGGTACGACCGAAGATTGAGGCATCCTGCTTGGGTAAGTTGCTCATTACGGCGTTTTTGGGGTATGCAGCAGTTCTAATTAGGCGAAGACTGCTGAGCGACTGACAGCTGCATCGCTTGGGCGAGGCAAATCATACTCAGATGAGGCAGGGAGAGGGGATCGTGGACGTTCAACGTTCAAAGAGGATGAATCTATACCTGCCATGTTCCGCGCTCGCCTAGCAGATTATTTTAGAAGCGGTTATGATCGTGGTCACATGTGGGTTGTACTTGGAGTTTTTCCCTTGGTATAAGCAGGTTGAGCGGGTTCAAAGGGTGCCAGCTGCGGACGCGAAGTCTTCTCAGGTATGCTCCCAGGCAGCAATCTAGTTTCTTGTCACATACGTGTCATCCCTTGCAGTCGGCGATGGACGAAACGTTCCTATTGACTAACATTGCCCCTCAAGTCGGTGATGGATTCAATCGTCATTGTAAGGACTTCCATGACTTCCCAGCCAACGATTGATCCGATAGATATGTTCCTATCTAAAGATTGGGCATACTTGGAAGACTGGTGTCGTAGACTCACTAGTTCATTCTCAGAAGTATACGTCTTCACCATTCCACTTTACCTTCCCAAAAAACATCCCGACGGGAAATGGAAGATTGTAAGTCATCTTTTTGACGACGTGCCCCTTTCCGTATCTGATAGCTCCGACCAGACTCACGAAATGATAGGGGAAATGGCTAACGTTGGCGTTCCAACACACTTCAGTAAGGTGGTCCTCGCGGCAAAACCATCGTCGCCTTCCACTCCACACATCGCGGAGTTGTGTCTAGGCGCATTTGTGCTACCAAACACAGAAATTCCTGATGAAGCACCTTTGGAGTCGTTCATGATACCAGGTGGGCCTCATTCTGAAGTTTTAGGCAGTGTCGAAATTGTGATCCCCTCTTCTCAGTCGACGCTGTGGAAAGAGCATCAGGATTGGTGCTTCTCCCAGATTCTGTGAAATCCAGTGCAAAAAACATTTGCAGGACAACGTCATGCCAATTAATAATTCGACGGTTTGACGATGCCAAGAGGCACGTAAAAGCAATCTCTGCCCCAAATGTTTCATAATATCTATTGGCAGTACGTTATACTCTCGGCAGTAATGAATCAATATGCGTCCAGTAAGCCGGGTTAACATGGTCCTGAACCTCCTCCTTCGCGAGCCATGCGAAATCCTCAAATGAATTGGAATGAATCTCAGGTTTTCCACCAAGGATTCGTGCTTTGAAGAAAAAAGTCTGGAGATTGTTTTTTTTTAACGTGAAAGATTTGGTCTCATCTGCAGACGTACCTTTCTGGCGTCTGTATCAAGGACATCTATTGGCTGGCGCCCAATCATCCAAATATTCATATTAGGACCTAGCGAGGCGGTTAGAGCCTCCTGTACAGACTAACAGAATAAAAAAAAGTGAATTAAATGCGTGAATCCCTTTGACATGGATCCCAAATTCATATGCATACGGTGTGAAGGGGTTGAGTAGTGCCAGCTTCCCATGTTGGGAACTCCCAGGTACCAGAAGCCTTTGAAGATTTAACTAATAGGTAGAGCGTTCGTTCCCCCTGTCTATTGAGATCTCTGACGTTGTTCGTTTTATCCGCGTCTGTTTCACGAGGTTGTAAACGAAGTGCCTCCTCGTCAGAGGGGATATCGTCGAGTTTGGTGGAAATGCCGAAGCCATCGCCAAAGGTAACTTGTTCACGAGCCCTTTCCTCAGCATTGAACCTCCTTTCCAGGAGAGACCCTTTTTTAAAGTAGAAATCGGCAGGGAAAGGCTGAGATAAGGCACGGTGTAGACGAGCTTGATATGCGTAATATTCGGACTCAAATTTTTTTGGAGAAGCAGTAAGCAATGGTGCGCGGGCGAGGACTATAGTGGCTTGAAGCGTGAATGGCAGGGATCCATTGGATGCACTAGGTAATGGCTCATTGGGCGGCGAGGCGGAAACTGAATACCGCCTGAATAGTGAGTAAGTATAGTGTGACGCGACAGGCGCTTCTCCGCGCCCCTGTAAGACTAGAAGAATTTAGTACAAGTATTGCAAAGAGATGAAGTCGGAAACGACTTACTCGCCTGGAGGATTGCCTTCGGGCGGCACATATATGGGGAACTTGGCATCACGCGGAAATTCCCACGCTTGAGGGGTTTGACCCTCTAGTCAGCGATCATTGACGGAACTCTCACCGCTATGCCACTGGCCGATGTTTCAAATACTTTTCTTGAAGAAAGCGCGGCGAAAGTTCGCTCCAAGCCTGTTCCCTGGGAGGCGAGTACTGTCTCCTCTTACTGGGAGCTCCCCCTGAACTGGGATATCCGCCCGCAAAGGCTTATCAGCGGGCGGGTTTGATCACCGTAGAGGACCTAGGTCTTATAAAGAGAGTGGATCGGCAACCGCGCGCTAGAATTGAATCTGTGTTAATGTCTGATGGACAAACGTATGCCAATCTTTATCTCATGCTCCTCAAGAAGCTGGTTCGCGTCGACCCATTGCAATACTTGCTTGTTATGGCCTCTGATGCCCTTACCGGCAAGTAAATCTTTCGAGGCTGGAGCTATCGGTTTTTCACCTTTGGGTTGCATGCTTAGACCATCCTGAGAGGCTAGCTCTATTTCAAGGAAGTTCTAAATCCGACCCTGATTTACCTTACGGCCCACTTTCCAGGTAACGGAGCTGAGACATCTGTGTGTAGTACGAGTGCATCTGACGCTCACAAGGACACTAGAGACTCAGGATGAGTTCGCTCGATTGAAGGCCTTGCAGATCGTGACGGCCCTCCTAAGGTGAGTTCGGGTTAATGAAGGGATATTTGGGTGGGGGGTATGGGACTTAGGATCTGCAGTTCGGAGCCATCTTCTTTGCAAAGCCAGCATATCCGGTCATTTCTGTCTACGATCACCGTGTCTTTGCAAGGCTCTCAAAACGCGCGGGATGTGGGCGTGCAGTGTTTGGGATCCCTCTTGCCTCGAGCAGAGGTTCGGAAAGCCGTGTGGAAGATAGACGAACTCATTCAGGGGTGAGTCTTGGCTAATTTGACCTTTCTCCGAAGCTAAATCGTAAGCCAAGGTTGATCCAAGCTGCAAATTCGAACGTATCTCCGCAGCTAACGTATCAGGCCGTGTATTGTCTTTGGCTGCTTTCGTTTGATACATCCATTGCTCAAGCCATCAATAAGTGATGGTTATTTCTGTGGAAGCACATCTGTTGAATGCTGACGGTGTTGATAGGAAGTATGACATAATACCTGCGTTCATCAAGATTGCCAAGATTGCTGTGAAAGAGAAGGTCATACGTGTTATTATTGCCACATTCAGGGCAAGTCGCTCTCTCTGATTTCCCGGAGGTGTCACTTATTAGGTGGCCTGTTACACATGCTAGAACATGGTCACGAAAGCTCCAGCCGAGAATCTGCCTGCAATGCTGGTTGCAGAGTCATTGCCGCTGGTGAAGAACTTGTCGACAAGAAAGTACTCAGACGAAGAAGTTATTGATGACCTCGATTTCCTACGGGATGAACTTGCGAGAAATTTTGAAAGTTTATCGTGAATATATTGGCCTTTACCTGCATGAACTTGGCATCCTTGACTGAGGTGATGTCTACTGCAGCACCTACGATGAATATGCTTCAGAGCTTGAGTCTGGCCGTCTGTCGTGGTCTCCTGTTCACGAATCGGAGACGTTCTGGAAGGAGAACTCAAGTAAACTCAACGATAACGACTACGAGAAATTGAAGTAAGTGCGAGCGCCCTCATTTTCTAGCGTTCTTCTGACCTCCCGTCTTGCTCCCTCCTTGCGCTGCTAGGATTCTGCTTAGGATAATACGGACGGCTGAAGATTCAGTCGTGCTTGCCGTGGCTATCCATGATATTGGACAGTATATCAAGTATTCCGGGAAGGGAAGGAGGTTTGCATTTTTTTCCCTTCAATATCATGCGCACTCGACTCATTTGAAAACAATCTACCTAGAGCAGTGAACGATTTGGGCGGGAAGACACGGATAATGGAGTTGATGTCGCATGCTGACCCTGATGTTCAGTTCCAATCGCTGGTTACTGTCCAACGTCTCGTGTCTCATTCGTGGATGAGCTAGATGCGTTTTTTCATGATGCAGCTGAACGGAGTTCACTGTAATTTTCCCCATTACTTAATTCTCAATTTGTCTTCTTGGAACGATGGCATTCCAGGTCACTACATACTTGATTACATAAGCACCGATTCGGGAGCCTTAGTTCAACACCAAAAACGAACGGGAAAGAGAGGAGAAGAAAGAGGACATCCATCAACGACAAGTTTACGATTCGCAACGCTTAATTTGTTTGTCTCTGTCCTAACTCAGTTCGCTTGACGACTACGACATGTCCAGTCCAACCACTACACCTGATATTTCAGGGCTTTCTATCCACGACCATCGCGCCAGCGACGGGTACGATCATCCGTTTTACTCCACCGTCCCATCTCCCTATTCGATCGCGACGGGGGCTCAACCGCCCCTTGATGTGCCATTTAACAATACTCTTGCTACCATGGGCAACAAGTACGCTCGCACCGGGCTCCCCAGTGTACGTTATTTGCTGGCTAGCCGAAGGTTTGCTGTCGGCTTGAGGTCTGATTTCATTCATTGTTCTTCAGCATTGGCTCGATCAACAAGCTACGAACAACACGCTGGATACCCGTTCAATCTCCCCGCCAACGGACATCTCGTCGACGGGAAGTCCGCCTCCCCCCCAGCTTGTCAATGCACCAAATATGGCACCTAGCGCTCAGCTTCCAGCCAATTCTATGGAAGATGAGATAATCCCTACTGCAATTGTAATAAAAAATATCCCATTCTCCGTCAAGAAGGAAACCCTGCTTGAAATTATTGTAAGTTCCGAGCTGATGGGTGCAGGTACTGTACCTGATTATCGACTTCCCCAAGGCATCTCTGTCAATCCCCACACCCTATGCTTTCAACTACCATTTGGATACGTCTGGCGCCTTTCGGGGCCTTGCATTCGCGAATTTTCGGCTTGCAGCTGACGCTGACGCTGTTGTTGCTGCCCTCAACGGTTTCGAGGTCCAAGGTCGCAAGCTCCGAGTGGAATACAAGAAAGTGCTTCAAGCCGGAGAAAAGGAACGAATTGAGCGAGAGAAGGCTCTCCGCCGCATGCGTAGCATGCAGTTAGAAAAAGAGAAAGAACGACTGGCTGTCAGTGTCAACGCCAATTCTGACTTCGAAGATTATGGTGTCATACAGCAAGCACAATCTTTTCCGATAGTACAGGGCCCCATTGGCAGTGGTATTGGATTGGGTTATCCTGGTAATGACAACGGCGGGTCTACATCACCTCGCAGTTTCAATTCTGGACCATTGAATAATTTCCCGTATTCCTCGTCGGTACAAACTCAGCTTCCCAGCGTCGTGCCCCTCCCGTCACACTATCTGCCTGTGCAGCGGCCGCCTCAACAGATCCAAACTCCGCAGCTGCGAATTTCTACTCCACCCTCGGGGACTCAGAACAGCAGCAATTCACTTGACGGCATGCTGCAGGAACAGTATGCCCGATCATTTTCTCCTCCATCTCACGCCTCTGCCTCTCCACCCATCCAACCGTCCAGCAATCTCCAGCCTAAGAACAGCGCGGAGCTTGATTTGAATGACCCTTCTACCCTGGAGATATATTCGCGAATTTTAGTTTTCAAAGAGGACCGAATGAGGGACGAGTTGGCCTTCTCGCGTTCTCTCACGCCTAAACAACGTCGCGTAGTTCATCTCGTCGCGCAGAAGTTGGGAGTGTATCACTATTCAGTTGGGGAGGGAGACGAACGTTATGCAGTGGTCACTCGCATTGAGAGAGAAAATCGCGTAAGTGATTCCGCTCTTAAATCGGAGCATTCACCCAATTTCCGTGACATTAGCAATCTTCCCAACGACAGGGTGATGTGCATACATTATCGAGGGCCCAGTCGACCTACTTGAATCCATCAGCGATAGCATCTCCTACCAGGACTGCTTCAGCGGCTCTCAGGGTGAAGAAGTCAATGCCTGATCTGGCATCCCTCCATACTCCTCCTCCACGACTCAACTCTCGGTCGTCGAACGGTAATATCAGAGAGGGATACTCAGCCACTATCTCCAGTCCTGGTCGTAGGGCTAATAACGCGTCGTTTCGTGATTTGTTCGGCACTGGTGGGAGTAATACCACTAATGGAGGCACATCTATCCCCCCTGTACCTACACTTCCTCCATTGCCTAGTCACCTCGTCGACTCTTCCTCGTCAACATCATCTGGCGTAGTACGCCAACCCAGAGGTCCTGCGGGGAACCCCGGATTTGGGTTGAGACGAACTAGTGACTTGGTTAGGACTGGAAACAACGGGAATACCAATGCCATCAACGCCAGTGGTGCTAATACCTCGGATCATTTATCTCCTGGTGGTTTGGATGCGAGAAGCCATGAGCCGCTTGAACTGTAGATCTATTTCTTCAGTATGCCTCGAACATCTCGTTCCAAACTCGCGATTGCCCATTTTTCTGTAAAATTCGTCATGCAAGGGTGTTTGACGGCGATGATCCTCTCCTTCGTGCCTTTTTAAACATTTGGCTTGTTATGCGTTGTTTGTGTCGCAGGCATGAAATCCAAGTCAATGAACTGTGATGGCGAAAGTGCGATTAACAGCTGAATTCGGGCTGATGCTATGTTATACATTGATGGCAAGCAAACCCAAGATGCATGACATTTATGCGACATAAGAATATACAATACCAGAAATTACAGGCTACGAGAGATAGAGCGAGATACCTGAACAATAATAGATGATCAGTAGACGGGTTAACGTGAATTTTACGAATGCACTGACACTTTCTAATAGCGTCGATATCTCTGGAACGGCACGAACAAAACCACGGCTCCAGAACTCGTATTTTGGGTTACGAAGTAATTCGATGAAGGTCACCAATGCACCCCATGGGTGGGGGCGGTGCACAATAAAACGTTCCAGAAGAACTTTGGTCACGACCTCGTGGAAATTCTCGGTCTTGACCTCAGCAAAAAGATGAAGTGCTAAGTTGGCGAACCAATGGGTGTGGGCACTGGGAAAGCGAAGATGCATGACTATCGCGCTCATTAGGTGGTGTTGACCTTCAACGTCCAGGTCTGATGCCAGTTGAGCGAATAACAATGCCCCTGGGTCAGATGAATTAAAGGCCATGGAGCCGGTCCTGGCCTTTGCTTGGGCGATTGTTTTGGCTCCGATGTACAATACGAGAGCATTCATAAGGGGCGAGCTGTAGCGTTCAGATAGTGAATCGGAAACAGCACCCGGGATTATTAGCTGATCTTTCAGCATGGTCGCAATCGCGGTGTTACCACGCCCCGTTAAATAACGATCGAGGGAGGCCCGGAATTCGCTGTCGCCAAGCGGCGCAGTGTAATCAGAGAGAATGGAGGGTACGGAGCCCATATCAGCTTGGACGTCAACTAAATGGGGGTCAGGAAGAATGAGTTTTGGAGGATATGCACTCAGAATCACGTTTCGGAGTTGGATAGATCGGGGTGGAATGACATCGCAAATTGAGAAGTAGTATTCCGCAAGGAAGTCAGGAAAGTCGTGGAGGAGGACGAGAAGCAGACGCTGAGCACCGCGGAACAAATTACGGGATGCGTTTTGAAGCTCAAGCTTCCGTATGAAGGGTGCTAGGAACTTGAAGAGGGACAACAAGAGTCGATGAAAGGCGGACCAACCCTGGGAACAACACAATTAGAGGTAGTTTTTCCTGGGACAGTTGAACGTACTGCTCTATTTTCGGACATCAGCAACTTAGGCATGAAACGGCGATGGGAAATAAGGGATATCCATGAAAAGGCAAACCCAGGGAAATAGGTTGGTTGGAGAGTATTGAACGTGTCACTAGTGAATGGATACGTTAAAAATATTGGGAGGGAAACACAAACCAGTCTGCCTTACCAAAGAGCGATGAGTAGCTGGAAGTATGCCCCTTGGATTGTCGACTCGATGGCATGTAGATCATTGAAAAGGCTGGAGAACAGACGGAAGAAGGGTTTCTGGGGGAACTCGGCGGTCGACTCTTCGTGGAAATGGGCTAGGACCACGACCGCGATGGATAGGATTTTGGTGAGGTAATGAACTTTGGTCTGGACGGTATCGCCATTGTATTTGATCATGAGCACGATTAACCGAGAAAGTGCGTCAACTGGCTGGTACGCATTGAAGATTTCACCATGTGAGGCGAGCTCTTGGTAGAGCGTGACACTTGCTTCGACACAAACGCGATAAAAGAAAGAAGAAATCTCCTCCCCTTTGAGAATGCCTTGGGCAGTCAGCTGGGTCACCCAAGAAACGAATGACTTCTCCAGATTTGGAGATCGTTGGTAGAGCCGGACCCAATCTGCATAGTATCGCGCAAGTCTGTCATACATGATGACGTCGGGGCCATCAGAGTCATTACGAGTCGCACGAAGATCTTCCAACAATTGAGTGGATCTGATACGGAATACGTTAACTTGTCTCATCACAAAAGTACAAGTTTAGCCCACATTTCTGTACCCTTCCGAAGCTGGGCGGCATGAGAAAGGGCCTCCAGCGACAGACGAAATGAGCTGGGATGAGCGTAAGCCCCATTGCCGAGTACTGCATCGCGAATAAGGTTTGAGGTGAAATTGATTGTGCTAATCTTCATGTCTCTAGTGATCAACTTTGCCAACTGGGAATCTTGGTCGGAGATAGGAACGAGTTTGTTTTTCAGGAGAAGGGCAGTGACTGGAATGTTGAACTTGCGCTACAAAAGCCATTCTATCTCCCTACTCCTGAAACAACTTACGATAACATACCTCGTCTTCGGCAAAAAGCAGCCAGTCAATCGCCTCCTTGTTAACTTGAGGAGAGGCATCACACAGTCTGTCGAGCAGTATGGCGAAGACATCTCGACCCAATTGCGTCGGTGTCTTGTACAGCATCTGGACGACTTTCTGGGAAAATGCTAGAGCAGTTTCGTCCCTCTCACTAGTTTGATTGAGCAAAACGAGTATTTGGCGGAGAAGGATGCTAATATCATTGTTGGATGGAAGGGTTGCCACTGTCTGTGATGGCGGGAACTGATCCAATAGGCGCTCGATGTCATTGATGGCTTGCTGCATGAGGAAAATCAGAACAATCGAAGAATGTGCGGGACTACTTACAGTGAAGCGTTCTATAGCTTGGTGGGTCCCAAGAGGATTGGGCGGACGGACGGTCGACATCGGGGATGAGTAGACCGTCCCCGATTGTTCCGAGCGATGAATACCAGAGCGGGCGTTGAGTGCTGGAATTGCGAGCGTAAGAACCTAATCTTTCTACTCGCCTTGATGCACTTACCAAAGTCATCATAAACTCGTAGTTGTGCCAAAGGAATGCCTCTCGACCGGGGTCGCAGAGGTTCGGGTAGTGTTGATGCGACATCATGGGGTACCGTGGCGTCCCAGAAAGGCTGCCCAGGCCGCTGCTATGAGAAATGGTCAGAGGTCATCCCCATCGAGACAAACAGGAAACTGCCGCACTTCGCGATGCAAACGGCGATCATTGTAAGCAGAAGCGAAGGCTTCATCGACATCAGCGATTGCCCTCTCCATCGCCGCTTTCTCAATTACAGAACAAGCCATTTCGATGTTGTCAGAAACAATAAGCCCAATAACCTGCTCGGGAACAACCTGCTGCTCCATAGGTGAGCGTGTCCTCTGTCATAAAGGCAATGAACAAACCTCATTGTACCCTTGCTCCGCCAACAAGTGACGGACATGGGTGGCCATGTTGCTTCGGAGCGGTTCCTTGCAAGTGACGAGTGCTAGGTTCCCCGCCAAGTATGACACCATCAGATGAGCAGCTTTACGCATTTTTTCCTCGTCCGCTTCGCGGGAGAAGTCTTTCGAGACAAGTTCCCTGGTGGAGATGCCAGCAATAGTTACGGAGCGCTCCACTACAGGTAGGATGATCTAGTTATACGATATCAGTCAATGCCCAATGCTTCATGGATTGAAGTATACTCACATCACGAACAGAGCGTTCGACAGCGAGTTGAACACTGCGTTTGAAGCCAGGGCTCATGGCAATTGCTGTTAACTGAGGGTTGACGGTTACATGATTGGGGATATCAGTCATAATTGCTTCAATCTGGGATGCAATAAGGCGCTGGTTCTGAGTGGGACTTGTAGAGCTGATTGGAAGCAACGATCCCGAAGTTTGTATCTGAGTTTCTGATGTGTTCTGTCCACCATAGTTGCCAATCGGCATTGAGTCGATGTCTGGAACGAAATCAGGAAGAGGCGGTCCTTGGTCGTTAGCAGAAGCGCGATCACGCAGAATCGTTGTCGCGTCAATCTTCCCCAGGTCGACGAACAAAGCCTTGCAAAGCACCTCAATCTCGAACTTGAGAGTCAGTCGTAAATCCGCATAATGATAGAGCTCCGTAAGAAGTCCCAGCACACTCATAAGCCAGGGATTAGGAGGAAGGAATATAGTAGATTTTGAACATTGTTCCAGGATTTTGCAAACGAATGGGATGGCTTTGAGAAGTTGGTTATTGTCATATCCCTCTATCAATAGCTCTTTGAAGGCGAGGTTCTTGTATTTGATGGGCCGGTTACGCCCTACAGTGAGGGAGCCAAGCCAAGCGGCCAGATTTTTCAGCGTTGAGCGTTCGTTGCTGGCTTGAGACGGTTTACTCTCTGTGTTCAACAGCAGAGATGCCTTGAAATAGGTCTCGTTTAGGACATGATTGTCCAGTTTTCGATCATTAATGCCCTCTAAGAAACGGAGATAAATGTCATGGTTATTCGGCTCGGTGCCTGCACGACGATCCACCAAATAGTTTGCAAACCAGCGCGAGTAACCGGTGATGAAACGCTCTTTCATCTCAGCAAGCTTAATGTCGAAATTGTTTGCGGCAAGGTTGTTAACGATGAAGAGGATCTTCTCCGATTCTTCCGCCTTTGGTTCGACAAGGGGGTCTTCTGACATATCGTCTGCTTGAATAGCTGTGAACGCAAGAGGGGTAGGCTCCATTTCGGGGAGATGAATGTCATTTTCGCCTATAATATTGCTCCCTTCCCCAGACCCAGTTCCAGCGATAGTAAGAGCATGACGTATTCTTTCAGCTATCGCCGGACGAGCCAATTGAAAGTGAGGTATCCGGAGAAGTGTATTGCAAAGAGGGGGCCATTCAGGTAATCTGGACTCGAAGCGAATAAGGGCTTCGATGCCAAACGTGAAGAGATTGGAGTCGGGCGGGCTTCGGACTGCATCAAGAACATATCTCAATGCGATGCCGAGAGGGATGAAATCAATGAGACGGAATTGAATAATCGACCCGAAGAGATACCCAGTCATTGCGAGCTCCCGGGCTGGATAAGACGATTGGAAGAATTTGTACTCGTCAAATAGCGAGTGAAGCGTACAGGCAAAAATCTCCTTTTCCCTTGAATTGGTGGAGTTTTTTGACTCACGCAGCATGTCAATGACCTGATCGATGGAGATGTCACCATCATACATTCTCCGATAGATCGTCTCAACTTCGGTTTCAATCTCCGGAGAAAAGGTGACAACGGTGAGCCCAGGCTCTCCATCAGAACCTGGGGTCAAGTTCATAAGTCTAGGATGAAGCTGATAGCTGAGGTTACGGATTTCGGTAAAGTATTTCGCATCGGTCGGAGACATGTTGCTGTGAAGAGATGAATCGTAAGAACTTTGATATGCGTTTGGTAGACGTAACCAACCTGCTACGAAGCATACGAATGAATATAGTAATAGTCTGGGGGTTGAGGGGCATGGTTTGGTGTTTGACTGCAGGGTCCTGCCGCGCAAGTTCGCTGTTGATTTTGACGTCCAAAAATTCCAGCACTGCGTGGATGAATGCTTCACCATGTGTGGCAGCATGATCAGACAGCCACTTGTCAAGATTGAGATACTCCCGTCGAGATGCAAGGGCGGCAACATCCAGAGCAAAGGCGAAAGGGCGGACGTCCAATAGAGAATCGAGGATCTAACAATAAGTAGAATAATTGGCATCCGGACCCAATCATGTTTCTATAAACATCACACCTTCAAATCCTGCGCCACATCTAGTATCCGAGTGATGTTCACCGGGCTTTCTGCATAGAAATCTCTGAATGCCGAAGTCAAATACGCGGGGTCAATTTGCCAGATGCGCATGAAGACAAGCTGATGATTTGGGTGCCCAGCCAAAAACATGTTAAGCAGCTTGGTAGAATACTCTTGCTGCGTTGGGCCCCAGGGTTTCTGCTTGTGATCCATTAATCAGAGTACAATCCTATGTGAAGGGACATACCGCAACTTGTAGGAGGCCCATGTGAACCAGCTCCGCACTGATCTTAACTGCTTTGTCAAGCATTTCTCTAACGCATTGAGCCACTTCCGGGGCATCGGAATCTCCGAGTCTCACTAAAGTTTCAATAAGATCCAAGGAGTTCCAGGTATGGCCTTGCACATTCGCAGCAAGAGCTTTGATGGTGGGACTTGCTCCAGCAACATCGTCGACAGTGACAATGCGCCTTCCAGGTAAACTGACTAAATTGAATGTATCGTTTGGCAGCGAAAGGAGAGCATCCAGAAGGCGAAGCTGGTACAGAGTGTTCCTCCAATCCTTCCAAAATGCACATATGGAAGGCATGGTACTGTCCCTAGGAGTATTTGGCAAGATTGCAATGAGAAGCTTCAATGTGGCAGTATCGATGCCCGACCGTTCTGGGCGGTCAAAGGCATATAACAGAACGTTACACCAGTCTATGGAGCCCGGCTATTTCAAGTTGTGAACGCTGGCGTTACCGAACAATGCATCTGACACCCACCAAGCTGCAAATTGCCTTTATGAGAGATGCAACATCACACAATGGTGTGCCTTCAGCAGCATAACGGGCCAGTGTCGACAAGATTTCAACTACTTGATTTTCACGAGGGGGGGATGACGCTGACAATCCAAAACGCTGTAGAAGCGCTAAGACAGTATCAGGATCACTTGTCAGTTCTGGACCTAGTTGACAAAGTGTTTGTACAAGTGAGGTACCGGGCGAAAGGCTGGATGAAGCATTAGGTAGAGCAAGAGTGATGAGAACACCTCAGTGAGGGGCGGAACGACGAACCTTAACTTTGGGAAGATGCTTCGTAGGATAGGCCCCATTGTTTCTTGGCCGAATTTCGCCTGCGCCGCTGAAATGAGTTTGACTCGCTGCGCGGCGTCCAATATAGGACTGTCAGGGGGTGGATCACTCAGCAAATGGCTCAACAGCCTGGCAAGTTGCTGAGGAGACAGATCATCCGCGGAGCCCGAACCACTGGACGTAACAGATGATCCCGGGGCAGGCTCAAAACTGGGGCGGGCTACCAGTGCCCGAGCAGCATCTTCGAGGTTGACACGAACCATCAGAGCAGCTTGGGCAGTAAGTTCTCGACGAGGAGTGCTGCTGCTCACGACGGAACTCGCCAGGATGAACCGTTCAAGTGGCTTAAGTCCCATTCGCTCTACGAAACGTGCCAGGTCGAAATGCCGAAAAATATCCCCTTCACCTTTGTCCACTGCATCACGGAAACGGTCCGCAAGGAATGGGTCTCTTGCTAGCCTCTGGGTTTCTTGAACGAGGAGGCGGGATGTGAGTGCGGATGAAGTGTCATATTGCTGTGAGGTACTGCTGGAGGATGACTGGAGTCGAGAGGCAGACGCTGCTATGAGTCGTCGAATGAAATGGAGATATGTCTCCACTCCATGCTGCTCGCAAAGTGATCGTATTTCCGCCTGATTTCTATGAACAGGTAAGGGTGCATGATTTAGGATTAGTTTAATCACATTATTCGATGAAAGAGGATGCGCAAGGTGAAAACCCACCTTTCATATCTATCTTCGCTAAGGGTAGAGAGGAGAAAGACAACCTGAGCTTTGACGATAGTAATTAACCCGTTACTTTCCCTTGAAGAGGAGAAAGACGACATGAATTATCTTCGCAGACCGCTCACTTCCGTTCTCCACTTCCCCAAGTCGATTGTTGCGACCGTCAGCCCTGCGGACTTACTCGTCTATTTGATGAGCGGCGGCGCAGCCTGAAACCCCGTAATAGTCGTAGAACGGCCACTAGTGGGATGCTAAAGTGTATGTAAGAATAAAGTTGTGCTGCAAAGGGTTGGTTTGTGTTCGGAAGCAAAATCAAGGTCCACAAGCGGCTGTCGCCAGTACGCTTCTGGCGCGTACGAATATTTACAAAAAAAATATGGAATGTATCTCTTACTGGATAACAAAGTAGCTATCTAGGAGTTGCATTTATAATAATTCGTTTTTCGATTTTTTCTCGCGCATTGGTTCGAAGCTCTTAAATAATACTGCGAAGTCATAGAGGCTGGAGTCTTGCCTGCATAGTTCAAAGCAAATATTACTAATGCTATCACACCCTATCCCGTGACGTCGCGCACGAGGTTGTACTCTAAGCGCTCAACGCCAACGATGTCCATAGCGGTGGCATTCAGATCACGGATTGAGGTTTTGGGGCCAACAACAATATGGTAATCAGAGGTTTCATCCAAAATGTTCAATTTTAACTGGTGACGGAGATGTGTAACGTACAAAGAAACGAAGAAAGTATAGGGGGGATTAGGTGGGGCGCACGCACATACGCGACGTGTATTTGTGGACAAGAGCTGTTGATGATGAACAGAAACGAAGCATTTATGCCTTCAGCTTCCCGATGATGGCGTCGGGTGCATAGCGAGGAATAACCTTAGGGTCGTGGAGCATCTGCGTTGGCTAATCCTCAGTCACCAGTATCCATAATGGGTGTTGCTATACGTACGTTAAACTCCTCACTAGCGTCCTTTCCTGCGAACAAGAGTATAGCCTTCTCGCCACCAGGGTGTTCCGGCAAAAATTTGGTCACATCCAGCACCTCCCCGTTCACGACAACCCATATATCCTCTTTCTTGTTATGCTTGGCCACATCCTCTAGAGTATACTCTCCAGAAGAAGCCTTTTCCGCAGCTTTACCCTCTTTCTCTTCTTTCGCAGTCCTCTCGGGAGAAGGGGGTTCAGAGGAATGCATTGGCGAGGCGACAGAGGCTGAAGAGAGCATTGAAGATGAAGGACCGGAGGAAGTAGGGCCATCGGCCCAGGAGAACTCCAAGCTCAGCTTGGAGTTTGAAGGATCCACCTTGACCCTGGTCTCCAAAAGATGCCCAGCAACAGCACCTAACCGCCCAGCAGCCTTGGAGTTTTGTAGGAGGTAAGCGCTAGCGTTATCACCAGCGACACGGCCGAATACGACGCATCCAAGTAGGGATGATCCGCCAAGACGGTTAGCTCCATGAACACCACCAGCGACTTCACCGCAAGCGAAAAGGCCGGCAATATGTTTATGGCTGGTGTCAATAACACGAGAAGTAGCGTCAATCTCTAGGCCACCCATAGTGTAATGGAGAACGGGAGTCATAATGGCAACGTGGAAGAAGTCATCCAGGGACCACTTGCCCCCGGGGAAGTACTGCACAGTGAGAACGTGAGAGATCCGTTATTCCTTTTAGGCAATGAAAAGTGGAGGCGACGCTGACCTTCTTCCCGAAAGGATCTTTCTTGGGGTCCTTCGCAATCTCATTGTATTCATCAAAAGTTTTCTCCAAGACTCTTGGGTCCAAACCAAACTCCTTTGCAAGCTCCTGACCGTTCTCAAATCTCTTCATCAGGCCGCGGCCAACATAGTGCTTGCAATGCCACTCGATCTCCTTACTGGCCTGTCCATTCAGTACCAAACGAATAGGATATTTGCCGTTTTGCCAGATACGACCAGTAACATAGTCACGATGGCCCAACTCGTCGGCAAAACGTTGACCTTCATTGTCGAGCAGGATCCCACCACATCCACGAAGTGCTTCGGCAGCCAAGAATTTCACCTTGGCTTCGGGGTCCTTGGGGTCAACAAGCCCAGTGGGGTGGACCTGAACCTTCTCAAGATCGATGGCTAAGAAATGGGGATAAGGGATCACCATAGTCCTAACACAATCGAGTCGGGGATGTGTACCCACCACTAGCACCAATAGCAAGCGCCACTTTGTGACCATCACCGGTGCAATGGTCACCATTGGTGGTGGGAAGACCATAGTATTCAGGCCTGTGCTTCTTCAACAATGAGTTTTCGGTGAAATCGGCAGCATAACCACCAGTGGCGAGAACGACGGGTCCAAGCGCATTCTGTGTCTTTCCATCCTTTTGGTATTCAACACCAACAACGGCGCCATTCTCGTAGAGAAGCCTTGTCACGCGAGCTTTGAGGATGATTTTGACGCGGTCAGGTGTAGTCTCAGCGAGGTCCTCGAGACGTTCCAGCTGGGCGTAGGTAATGACCATCCCGGGGAACTGAGCACTACCGCGGTGCGTGCGAGGCTGAGAGTGGCCACCAAGACGTGCAACTTTAGACAAATCCAGTGAGAATTTGTCCTGCAACCAATTGACGGCGTCGCCAGAGCGACCAGTGAGAACTTTGATGAGGTGATCGCGAGCGAGGTCGCGAGCCTGGAAATTCAACGGCAGCGATTACTCGTGGGGTGAAAATGAAAGGGTCATATTGTACTCACGGATCGCTTGGTATCTTCGAAAAAGATTTTGGCACTATCGGGAATGCCGAGTTCCTGTTGGGTTGCTGTACCTGCGCCATTAATGCCCGAAGTTGCTTTTGTGGAATTGCCTCCCATGAAGCTGCGGTGAAGCGGCGGTTTGATTAGGCCAGGTGCAGATAAGCTCAGTTGAAAACGCACGGATTCTTGTCCAAAAGAAGGACGTTCCCACCGCGCTCGAGAATGGTATGACATGCTGTATCAGGTATTATAAGGATATAGGGAAACGGAGCTATTGTGAGAAGAGTCAAACCTGAGAGACCCGCAAGACCACCACCTAAAATGCTGGAGGTGAGTGAAATACTGCGCAGAGAAGGTAATTTGCGAGCATACCAACGACGATGACAGTGGACATTATTGAATGATGTGTGATACAGAGGGGTTATGGATTGGGGAGAAGGGAAGACCCTTTGACTCAAGCGGATGGGTTTAAGTAGCGACCCCGGGGCGTGAGAGGTCCGAAACCGGTTATTCTCCTTTTGAGCCGGATGCGGAGAATTTGAGTTACGTAACGCAATTGAGCAACAGTCGAACGGATCTTTCCGATTCAACACCATTATGTGGCACGTGAAATTAGGGAATGAGTCCCATTCTGTCGCAACAACATGGCCGATGTGACACACAAGAGTTCATCAAACAACTGGCATTTAAACTGTTGGATCCAACTAGCCAATCTACCCAGCCTCATTGTACGACCGTGTAGCATAACCGCGCAAATGTCCCTTCCTCACATGTTCATTCATTGGAATTACATCCATGTGAAACTCACCTCCTAGAATTCCCCAACATCATTAATTGAGAGGGGAACGTGCACGTGTCGTATATTGCCTTTGTACGTACACCGAAAGGTAGAGCTGGTCGTCCTGGCCCAACACCAAGGTCCGTGTCGGATCTCCACCTGATTAACCACTCATCATGATGCAACCCTCCGAATTGCATATCAACTGCCCTGTAATATTGTTTCTATGTGTTCCACAAATTGAAACCCCGCCATCTCACGGCCCTTATTCCCGCACGTGTACCGAAATAACCGACCAACCTCGGCTCCTACATGCGGCTAACTCCGTCACAGCCATAGAAACCACGTGTTCAGACGTGTACGCGTCCAGCAACAGTTACGCCTTCACTCATGTCTGCATCGTACGACCGAGGTTACAACTTAATCTTCCATCAGTTTATTAAACCTGATCTGACATTGTTACGTGGTAGCTTTAACCGTATTCTCTCCTGACGGGCATCTCTTTCAAGTGGAGTATGCACTTGAAGCTGTCAGAAAAGGGACTTGTGCAGTCAGTGTTGTTTGATTTTTGTGGAATGTCATGGCTGCATTCAATCGTAGGTTGGCGTTCGTGGAAAAGATGTTGTCGTGCTCGGTGTCGAGAAGAAATCTGTGCTGCAGCTCCAGGACTCTCGGACCGTCCGGAAGGTTGTCATGCTCGATGACCATATTTGTCTCGCATTTGCAGGTACGGATTGTTTCCTACTTTGTATATTTCTATTACTCATGTTATCTCAGGTCTGACCGCTGACGGGCGTGTCCTTATTGACAAAGCACGTGTGGAATGTCAGAGTCACCGCCTTACTGTAGAAGATCCCGTCTCTGTGGAATATATCACTCGGTATATTGCGGGGATTCAGCAGGTTTGCCAGATCCAGAGATGTGCACGCATCCTCTTAAGCAACTTGCTATAGAAATATACGCAATCTGGTGGGGTGCGCCCCTTTGGCATTTCGACTCTGATTGTGGGCTTCGATCCTGCGGATACGCGGCCCCGACTATATCAGACGGAACCCAGTGGTATATACAGTGCTTGGAAGGTACGTGCTATTCATCTTGGCTTTGAAAACTTTGGCTCATGATGGTAGGCAAACGCCATCGGTAGATCATCTAAGACAGTCCGAGAATTTCTTGAGAGGAATTATAAGGACGACTTAAGCCGGGACGAAGCGGTGAAGCTGACAGTGAAGAGCTTGCTGGAGGTTGTGCAAACTGGTGCAAAAAATATCGAGATCAGCCTCATGGAAGGTTTTAATCAAATCACTGTAAGTTGCGTGAGTTAGCGAGCTTTTGCAGTGCTTATTTTGTATTATGTTGGGGGTAGAATCTGGACTTCCAAACTATTGAGTCCATTGTGGCTGAGATTGAGCGCGAAAAGGAGCAAGGTGTGTGCCTCAGCATCATCCATGAAGTTGTAACCCACGACGCTGTTCTCCAGAGGCGGAAAGGAAGCGGACACGGCAAGCTGCCACGGCAGCCTCTCAGGCAGCTATGATGGCATCATCTGCAGGGCATTCATCTTGACCCACTGGTGGATATCCGAGTGCACGTTGCATTAAGTACCCATGTAAACACATGTATCTGCTGCATTACATCCTCCTGTAAGGAAGTAAGCAACAAAGTCGTGATGGAGAAAGGGAAGATAAGCGCAAGTGGCACAAAAAACGCACATGCAGGTCCACTGCTGTGCAGGTAACATTGGAGTCACGAGTTTCAGGCATCATGAGAATTAGTCCGAGCACGATGCCATCTGGGACGTCAGGCCATGCCCAAGGACAACCGAACCGAGGAGTCCTGGAAACCCTTTCGGGAAAGAAGCCCCACAAGCGTTGGTCCGCGGGAATCTCGGTCGAAATGCCAATTGCTGACCTGCGGACGGCCACGCCAACGACCTTGTCCTCCCGCGAAGACTCCTGCTTGATTTGTGCTGAGCCTGTGAAGTATTACGCTATCTCTAGCTGTAATCACCGCACATGTCATCAATGTGCCCTCCGGTGGAGGGCTTTGTACAAGAAACACGAGTGTGCTTTTTGCAAGGTAGATTCCCAGCGCCTCAACTCATACCGTTATTGACGGTCGTTGCCAGAGCCCACAGCCTCGACTTATTTTCACATCATCCGGCTCTAGCCCCTGCGAGGTTCCCCCAAAGGCTCAGTCCTTCATTGATGATAGATTGGGCATAGTATTCGAGACAAAAGAAATGATGAATGAATCCCTTCTCCTACTCCGGTTACCTGTTTCTTATTCACTTGTCCCAGCTTAGGTTGCTGATTTTCGTTGCAGGTTTAACTGTCCACATGTCCAGTGCGAGTTCACCGCGAAGGGCTGGGCAGACTTGAAGTCCCATGTCCGCGATGATCATGCACAATTCTTGTGGTTGGTGACCAAGCACTGATGTTCAGTTGACATGTTTCCTCATCCCTCACTCAGCGACTTGTGCATTCGGCATAAGAAGATATTTCCCCATGAACATCCATTGTACACACCACGAATGCTAGCACAGCATCTTCCATCCTTGCGACGGCCGCCTCCCTTACCAAAAGGGGCGAGCGAAACCCCCGAGGAAAGAACGGCGGACGTGATTCACCCACTGTGTCCCTTCTGTAAGGAGTGCTTCTATGCGGACGACGAATTATCGTTCCATCTGAGGGAAAGACATGAGGAGTGTTTCGTTTGTCGACGTCTCGGGACTCGAGATTACTAGTAAATTCTTTCTATCCTTTATGGGGTCGCACCCTGAACACTCATTCATGCAGCTTCCAGAACTATGAGAAACTAGTATGTTCACTAATTACTTTACCTGGAGTCTTCTTATATTGTTTTCAGTATCAGCACTTCCGGTAGGAGGCCCTCACGAGCATGCCTTCGCGAGCTGATGGTTCGTTGAAAGATCTGATCATTTCCCGTGTCCCCACTCGGACTGCCTTGCACAAAAATTCATCGTTTTCCCATCGCAGTTGGATTTGCAAATTCACCAAATTCAGCAGCACGGCGATGAGATGTCGACCCGGCAGAAAAAGGACAAATTACGCATTGGGAGTGTGTTTGGATCAAGCAACTTACAGCATGCGTCAACGTCAAGCAGAGTGAGCGTGCCAGGTAGCACAACTGCCAGTTCAAGCGAGCAGATCGTGAACATCAATCGCAGAAGAACATTGGGGAACCATCATCTGACCGATCCTGATAACTGTGGATCACCAAGTGAAATATCGACTGGTGCTGGAGCAATTTTCGCTGGGTACGGGGGAATCTTGTTGCTAGTCCGCACACTGATCCTCCCCCATGAAGGTTAGGGACGTTGGATAGTTCCCTGCAAAATCTCAGCTCGCACGCACGGCTATCAGTTTTGTCCAATGTCCGGAGCTTCCAAGCTTCAGAATCGTCTTCTCGTGATATGTTAGACAACATTCACATCGTGTTCGATGGGAATCTAGGAGCCATGAGCCCAATCGTTGTCAAAATCCTCGATCTGTTTGAGGCCAAAAAGGAAAAGCAAAGCGAGGTACTTCAGAGCTGGACTAGGCTCAAATCACAGGTGAGGCTGAAACAAACATCTTCAAGTGTTCCAACGATTCTATATGACTTGACGCAGGAAGGGGAACAGTTCCCATCATTGGGATCTGTTTCAAATGTTCCCGTGAACTCGAAGAAACCTCCAGAGAAGCATGTTGGTGCTGGAGCATCGGTAGGGGTCTGGAATCGTGACGAAAAGGCCGTGACACTTTCCACCTCGAGCACCGCCCCGTTCCCCTCTCTGTCACGGAAAGGGAAGTGTTTCGAGTAATCCATCGCCGCAGCCTCAAGGCAAATTCTTACGAACAGTTACAGATGGTGTCACTGGCCGACCCACGATGAATTTAACGGACAGCTTTCCTTCTCTTCCACCATCATCTCGCTCACAAGTTCCAAAGGAATTCATCCGAGCCAGCCAGAACGCACACGATGCATCTGGCCGCCCGCCCCCGAGCATATGGAGACAAATCGCTGACAGCTCTCCCGCATTACCCGGTACCTCAAACTCCAGTGGAACAAATTCAAATCAAAGGAAGAATAAAAAAGGAAAAGAGACCTTGTTTATCCTAGGATCCCTTCCGACTGGATAAGGAATTCATCTCTCCGACACGTAGCGTCCTATGTTTGGTTGTCCTCTCACGACTGTGTGGAATGTAAAATGTCAACGAAAATTCTAAGATGAACAACCCGCGTGATGATACTCTTTTTAAATATGGGGAGAGTGAATCACTCCCCATGCTATGGGTCAGAGATCGGGTTTGAAGCGATGCACAAGAAAGCACACGGGTTGCACGGTGTTGGCTAGCGCAGGATTAAGATGATGTGGGTTATCACTCTACATCGACGCCACCCTCTATCGATCCTCTTGGAGTTACTTCTAGTGTAATTCCCGAAAACTTATCCCTGCGAGTAACGGAACGCAGGCCCAGGATGCCAGAAATTCGAGAATGGTCCAGGATTCTCTGAGTGCCATACGATACGGTTGGAGAATTGGTGTCCTGGGTCTTAATAGGAACCATGCCCAGGCGGAAACTCAAGGAGGAGATGAAGGCATCCCATCGGGATGAGTCAGAGAGATGATTAGTCATTAGAGAGGGAGTTGATGTTTCATGAAAGATAAGCTTGAGCACTGCTAGATCATGCTGAATGTCGCCTAACTTCTGCTCCAGCGCTTTGTTGTAAGGTCGAGAGGGGGACGATGCTTCATTCGTGAACTTCTGGAAATCTTCTTGGATTTCCGCAAATGAATGGCCCTGGGGGGAAGGGAACTCTGGTTCCTTGGTAAGGTTCAGGAGTGTCTGGAATCCCTGAATGGAACGCATGTCATCGGAGACTCTGATTTCGATTTCCACCAGGACGTCTTCGATTATATCGCTCAACCGAGCCCCAACTTTGGACAGAAAGCGAAAAGCTGTTTCGCGAAAACCTCCATGGTAACTCATGGCAGGTTCCACTGCGCCTTCAATTTGCTCCAGCACGGTTACGACGCCGGTACGACAGTCGCGGAATTGCTGCCGCAGCTGCTGATGCTTATCGAGCACTCGCTCCACAACAGCACATGCGGGTAGAGTCGGCTGGCCATAATGGTTCTGGGTGAAGCCATATGTTGGGACGTGACCCGGGGTAAGGTGGGCAGGAAAATCAACAGTTTCGCCGGGTTGTAGTGAGTGTTCTTTGATCGTTGCATCAGTCGATGAACCGGACGCTTCTCCAGGCGCAGTAATGGAGCCTTTAAGAAGTAAGGCCAATATCTGGTCCTCAAGGCATCTGACCCCGGATGACGATTCCCTCTGAGTGGAGACTGGAAACTGGTTCTCAAGCACGAGCCTCCTCTCAGATTCTCTTTCCAATTCCGATAACACCTCGTTCAGCGTGTTATGGGCAAGAATGAGCCGACCAAGAGATCCATCACTTGACTCTAAACTGCCAGGGCCATCTAAGGAGCCCTGAAGCGCAAGCGCCATGCGTAGAATGTTCCTCAAGGTGTGGTCACCATCCGCATTCAAACTACCGATAGAATGACTTGACACAGCTTCTTCGAGCTTGCAGATGATTCTACGTAGACCCTCGGCTAGACACTCTTCGCGTGCAATCAGTTTTAGTCGCAGAGATGCCTCCCGGCGTCGTTCAAAACTAGCCCGAGATATTTCTATAAACAGTGGTGATGATAGCGGTACGAATATTGAATAACGAATCCTAATAATAAGATCCGACGGACTTCACCTTCGGCAACGACATCGAAGCGTTGCCTCAGACTGTCATGTAAAACGCGCTCTCCCTTAAGGGCCAATTCGAGGGTCTCTATCTTGTGGTGCAAGGTGTTTTGCGAGGCGGAATGCCGAGACTTCACGAGCTCTAATGAGGCTTGCAAAGCTTGGGTTGACGCCTGAGAGAATGACCTATTCAAGAGTTGAGTGAGATAGGTTGGGTTCATTGATGTCCCATACCATACATATACTTCTCCACCATCTGGCTCGCAGATCCATCTTCCGCCTCATACAAGCCCAATCTACTTTCCAATGCAGTAATCTGGCGCTGATATGCCTGCTCTTCACCTTGTTTGGCCTGTAAATTAGCTTGTAATTTTTCCATTGTTACATGGAGATTTTTGATTTCCGCGTGCAATTTATCGACCTCTTGGTGCGAGTCAACCAAAAGCCTCCGCAATCCAGCATGGGCATCAGTGAGAGACTGGATTGTTGGATTGACTTCAGCATGTGAAGTGAGAGGAAGACTACAAAACTCGTTTGAGGTAGCGGTCCGACCTTCAAGTTTGCGCACAAGGTCTGCATACTCCGTCAACGCAAGATCCGCCATCTCCTTCTCAATGCAGGCTTGACGAGTCTCACGTTCCAGGACAGTTATCCGTTGAAGAGCGCTTTCCTCACGGAAGTGGGCATTTGAGAGACTGTTTTCCAGGGAATCAACCTTCAAAATCAGACTGTCCCGTATCGATCTCGAAGCTACATGGTTCCTTATATGCTCAGACAGGGCCTCTTCCAAGAACTTGGTCTTTTCCTGCGCTCGGAGAAGTGTGAGTGATAGATCAGAGTGGATTTGCGATGGTTGTTGAGACGGACGCTCGACTTGTGTGTGTAGAAGCTTGACTTCACGTTCAAGGAAGACATTGGTTTGCTGCAAGATGTGGACCTCATTTTGCGCATTCAGCTTTTCCAAAGCCGCCCGCTGAAGCTGTACTGATAGCGCATGTGCGGTGTGCTGAGATAGGGTGGTCAGTGAAACGCACACCAATACAAGGAGACGAATCCAACCTGATATTGAGCGAGAGACTCTTTCAGACTTGCAAGCTCTAAACTAAGTGGGTGTGCTCTAGAGACATCAAGGAAATCGACCTCGCATGGTTTCTTAGCTCCTTTCATTGGGGGTCGGGCTCAACCCCACGTGACCCATTTCAATGAGGCAGTGCCACGGTCTCAATTCCCGCTACTCCGTAGCGGCCTACATTCTTTTCTCCCAAACTCAATTGTCCTATGCACAGGGTCCTGTATGACCCTCAAACCCAGGGTCCATTCTCTGCCCCATACAGTTCTACTCCGCTCACTGCATGCTGCAGTGTAAATTACGTGGTCCTGAAACCAGAGTGTGCGGTGGGTTTAGAACGAATCTCGGCTTCGTCTCAGCCAATAGCAACGTTGAGAGTGAACATGCATGCAATTGTAAGAGTAGCGGGATCTGCCGCTTCAGGTGGCATTCCCCAGTTATTCAATATTGACCCCTGCATTTTCAGCCGTTAATGAATTCCCACTACTCTGTAGTGGGTCCTGCAAATTTTTGGCCCAGGACTGAATTTGTTTTCTGACAAGGTCCTGTGCCATTATGACCATAGGTTCATTCCCACGGTTTTTATTGCCATCTCCTTGCATAGTTCATCCCTTAGTGTGACATGTGCTGCACATCACGTGAGAAATTTGAACTGAATTAAAACTGAATTGATTTGCTGTGTCCGGCAATCTAGTGGGAACCAGTTGTCATAGGCAGTATAGAGCTGTTATTTTGGACAGGGGAGGAGAAGAGTGAAAACTTTCACCCTTCCCAACACTACAGTATATACATGTAAATACAATTATTTACATCAAGGAATAAAAAGGAAATAAACAATGAATAAAGATGTGTGCACAGCATGCATGTAAGGAAGGGATGGTGGTAGTGGGGGTGGGCAACGTAGGTTGGTTCCGTGTTCCACTTATGTAATCACATGGAGCAGAAAAGTGTACCAAAAATGTCTCATGTACTTTCTCACCACACACAACAAATAAGGAGAAACATCATTAGTAAACATTAATCAGATTGACCTAAAATAAAAATTGTTCAGAGGAATTTTTGAGAAAGTCAAAAATGGCTGTGTTGTGGTCAAGGAAATGTGTATAATTTGCCCATATCTTCAATTGTAGGAAGTTACATGCAAATTCCTCAGAATGTTTTGTAGAAATCTACTATCTGCACTGTATCCCCGATTTATATGCTCTCAGGAGGATACTGGAGAGAGAAAGTACAAACAGGGATTTTTGTTATGGTTTATTTGTACTTGTGTGCTGCATCAGGGCAAACACAACCCAGCTGGTACCCTTGACACTTAATCTGGACTCATATTTCCAAAATCTAGCCTGTATTAGATGCTGACACAAGCACTGGCTTTGCTGCATAGCTTATATTGGCCTGCTTTCTCATAAGACTTGATAAATTAAATGGAAGTACAAATAAACCATAACAAAAATCCCTGTTTGTACTTTCTCTCTCCAGTATCCTCCTGAGAGCATATAAATTGGGGATATGGTGCAGATGGTAGATTTCTACAAAATGTTCAGAGGAATTTGTGTGTAACTTCCTACAATTGAAGATACAGTTGATGTTGGAATTTGTACATGTGGTCTCAGGAACCTTAATGCATAAAATATGGACATTCTGGGAGTTGAACTGCAGAGCCCTGCATAGGTACCTAGAGTTGCCCACATTAGGTGGAGGTGGTTTCTAACAGTTGAAACCGTGGTAGGCCATACTTGCGATAACCCATAACCTGCCATTACCCATAGGAACTTCCAGGAACTGGCATGGTTCCTATTGGAAATTGGATGTCAACCCATAAACCTGCTGTCCCCCATAATCCATAATGTGAGGGGGGAATTTTATATTGAGATTTGATCCATAACCCATAGTACATATGAGCAATGATGACAGGTGAATGCATAGATATTGAAACTTTATTAACTGTTAATATTATAATAATGTGAGGATGATGGGGATCAGGACAGAAAATACTGTACATAATAAACATAGAAATTGCTCCACATGCTGTCCAACTGTGCACCATGCCAATCACTTTGTCCTCTCTCAAGAATGGCCTTGCTGCTCTAAAAAACGACACTCAGCCTCTCATTGACAAGCTAAAAACTAAACTTACTTCTGGAATATTGATCACTGATGAAGAGGAGAAATGGCTGGATCATGAAGCAAACTTCACAGATGAAACATTGCTTCTTGCTGAGCTCCAACATGCAATGGACTTTCAGAGTGCCCTTGACTCCCTCTCAAACAACCACAAAGCAATTGCCCAGTGCATGCAAGCTGCAAGCGGTGTTGAAGGTCAAAACTTGGGGATGGTTGCAAATGTTGTGCAATGTGAATCCAACCCAAACTTAAAGTGTGAGTGCTGTGATGGCTGGAGAAATTTGCACTCAAAATACTCCCAGGCTCTCAAAGAGTTGTTCCAGACCCAGATGAAGAACCATCAGCAAAGAAGCAGCCAGTCTTTACTCATAAAGAAATTGCCACACTGCAACAGCGCATCAAGATCATAGATTGGTATCACAAGAATGTGAAAAATCAAACAAAGACTGCAAAGCATTTTGAGTCCATCTACCCTAATCTCAAGATAAAACAGCCTCTCATCTCTGTTTGGGTGAAGAGTGAGACAAAACTTTGCAAGGAATTTTGGAAATTGGAAATTGCCAGGAAGTTCAAGTGCATCCAACAGACAACATTCCCAATGGTCACTGACATGTTGGAGCTATGGACTATTGCTGCTGAAGAGAAAGGGGTGGTACTCACTGGAGACATACTCTGGGCCAAATTTAAGCAATTTTCTGATCATGCTGGCATTCCACCACATGACCAGCTTAAGATGAGCAATGGGTGGCTTGAATCCATTAAAAATCGACTCGGGCTCTGCCTGCATGTACGCCATGGTGAGGCAGGTTCAGCCAGCCCAGAAGATGTCACTGCAGAACAGGCATGTCTACAGGGGCTCTTGTCCAAGTATTCCCTCAGCAACATTTTTAATGGTGATGAAACAGGACTTTACTATTTGTGAGTGCAAATCCCCCCTCCCCAACAGTCACCCAATAGTTCTCCTTAGTATGCCACCAGACAAGGGCCTAAGCAAGGGCCCAACCCCAGGATTGAAGGGAAATAAAGTGTGCTTGACATACTTTTTTGTCGCCAATGCCACAGGTTCTGAGAGATGGGAGCCTCTCATTATCGGAAAGGCATTCAAGCCTTGGTGCTTCAAGAAAAAGACTGGCCATGAGCTTGGCTTCAATTATAAGAACAATGCCAAGGCCTGGATGACCTCAGCAATTTACTTGGCATACCTTAGACAGTGGGATGCTGAACTTTGCACTCAAGGACAGCACATTCTCTATCTGCACGATAACTTTTCTGGCCACACTGTGCAAGTGTCATATCCATCCACAGCCATCACCCTCAACCACCTCCGGTCCTCTGGATTCCCTCCACTCCTTTGTCACTAACCTTGGAGCCTCTGGTTTCTGCAATCACCTCTGACCCCCCCAATGGTCACCACCCCTCCAATTCAACATATTACCTACACCTCCCTAAGTACGGAGCCCCAAAGGTCTCCAGACAGCTCCAACGTCCGCTAGTGCACCCCCACCTCCACTGGGCAATTCACTTGCTTGCCCTGCAAGTCTACCTTCGGGCCTATCCCTCCTTTCCATTTCTGGGTTATAGCCCACCATTCCGCTAACCCTGCAACCCGACTCATCGGTAATATTCAGTTGGCTAACATTTAACTCTGTTAGCTCCGCTCCACTTGGCCCCATCATTCACGGGCCCACCCTTGCTGTAACTATATATACATAACTTGTGGATAGGTTACACCCTAGTGATAAAATCGACTAGAGTTGATCCCCCTTTTAGTTCTTGCTGCCAGTAAGTAAATTAGGGCATGGACATGTAACTAGGCACAGTGCTCCTGGTCTGAGTCGCTGAGGCTGAAGCCCTCCGCCATGGAGACATCTCCTTCATCTTGAATCCAGTCTCTAACAGCAAGACAACTTGACCAACATCTGATGCAAATTTTTTGCACCAAATCTGATGGCCCATGTGCAGCCCATGGATGCTGGAGTAATTTGTTGTTTCAAAGCACACTATTGGAGTCAATTCATTAGTCATGCAATCAATTGCTACGATTCTGGAGTCTCACCAGGAAAAATTTATAACATTGACCAGCTTGAGGCAATGCATTTGGCACAGACAGCTTGGATGGAAGTCATGCCAGACACCATCTGCCACTGCTGGGCCAAGGCTGGAATCCTGCCCTTGTGCACACAAGTGTGGAAAATGGCAATACCTTTGTCAATGCTTGTCAATTCAGAGGACCCATCACCATCAGGCAGAGTGGAAGGAAAGCCACAGTGGGACAAGGACATACTGATGCTGGAATCAATGGACCCAATCACTATCGCCAATGCTCACATAGAGGAAGGCCTGAACAGTCTCCAGTCAGTTGGAATCCTCAGCAAGAGAAACAGAATGAGCATAGCCAAGCTGGTAGACAATCCATCAGAGATCATTCATGCTGCAGATGTCTCCAATGACAATATTTTCAATGCCATGTCTGAGGCATGGGAGAACAGGGAAAAGGACAACATCGCAGAAGGAGCCTGTTACAAAAATGGGGCCGGAGGCACCCATTTTGGTCCATTCTGGCACAGGAATAGGGAATAGAATGGGGAAAGGGGTTCAGATGGTTGTACAGGTGGTTTCACAGATGTTTAGACATGATGGGTTTTTTGGTTGTAATTCATTTGATAACATCTAATTACTATACAAATCATGTGATACAGAACCCATAAGAGTCTAAAATGGGAAATTCCCATTTCCATAACAGAGCCCATGATGCCAACAACTCCGATGATGACATGCCTGCTGTCTCGTGTAAGGATGCCATTCAGGCAGCACTCCTGCTGAAGACTTACACCAAACAAGTGAATTCTTCCTTTGCATGGAAGATGGAGTCCATGTTGGCTCAGTTTGGATGTGAGACCCACTATGAAGCCCAATCATTGCTCTGCAGCAGCACACTTGATTCTTACTTCAAAAAGATTGAATAGAGTGATAGAGAGGTGACATTGATAGACATGGTGGTAGTGGTGATTGACGATAAAGACTTATGTAAACATAGCATGTGCCTGTGAGAAATTTGAGGTAGCCCATACCTGTCATTACCCATACCTAAATCTGGGAACACAAGGTATGGGTTATCATGGTTTCAACTGTATGGGCAAATTATACACATTTCCTCGACCACAACACAGCCATTTTTGACTTTCTCAAAAATTCCTCTGAACAATTTTTATTTTAGGTCAATCTGATTAATGTTTACTAATGATGTTTCTCTTTATTTGTTGTGTGCAGTGAGAAAGTACATGAGACATTTTTGGTACACTTTTCTGCTCCATGTGATTACATAAGCAGAACATGGAACCAACCTATGTTGCCCACCCCCAGTGGTAGTCTGTGTCATATCCCGGAATCCCGACCCCGCGCACTCCCACCACACCACACCTTCCTAACAACTTCACCATCCCCTACACCATGCCTCCCCACTCCCCAAGTCACCTTCCCTCCTGACTGTCTCAGCTCCGGTCTGGTTGCGGCACACCGAACCTTGGCCACTCCCATCCCGGAACCTCGGTCCCGAGTCAGAACATTCAGAGACCCTGGATTTGCTCCGATATTCCGACGGACCTCCGACATCCCGTGACATGCCCTTAAACCATTCCTCCACCCACTTCATTTATTGGAGTCACCTAACATCTTTCGGATACGCAACTCCGCTTTCGGAGCTACCCACATCCTTCGGTGATCTCCCTCACGTTATCACTTACTAGTCACCTTCCATTTTTAGCACGACTACCTTCTTCCTACCATTCAGTCGGCTAACCCCCTTTACCCATTTGTCTTCCCCATTCATTTTCCGGCCTCCAACTCCGCCCTCTTTGGCCCGACACCTCGGTTCCCCGTTTAAGATATCGTTCGGGACCTTTCGGTACCTCTCGGTATCATTCGGCACCTTTCGGTGTTGTCCCATTTGCCATTTCGGACTTTGACTAAGTCCTCCCCATTCTCCTTTATAAATACCCATAGATTAGAACCTGTAGTTCCTCAGTTCTAATCTCGACTAAAATGCCACCCAAAGTCCCTCTGAGTGATTCCCGTTCCTGCTCTACAAGACACCTCAGACATAAGAAATACAAGGACTAACTGAGACGTAACGGAGGCACAGCGCTCCCTCCGAGTCGCTGAGGCCGTGTCCTTCTTAGAGCCTCTTGTACCATCCAGCAGAACCAGGCTCCCTGAGAAGCTTCGGTTCACTACCAGAGCCCTTGGACCCCCCTCTAGTTGAGCCCCACCTGCATTCGGACTCACGCATTTACCCCCCCTTCCAACCCGGGTTTTTGACAGTCTGGGACCCAACTGACCCTACTGAATAGAGGTCAGAATGTGGCCAGATATGGAAGTGCCACATAAGGGAATACTGAATAGCATCTGTGATGTGATTCAAATGTTTTGTGTTGTACATGTAATTATGATGACCAATGCCAGAGTCCAGTTTGCAGAGGGTCACGCAACAAGTCATTTAGTGTTAACCCATGTGGTTGTTGCACCCAACCCAACCCTGGGAGCTTGAGGAAGCACAGTCAAGGTCATGGAGTCAATACCTGGGCATGCAGTAAAATTAATAGTTTAAATATTAGTTGTAACTGTAATTGTTGTTGGTGTGCTGTAGTGTAGATGTTATAGCATGAGTTGAGGCTATGCAGTCTTTTTGGCTGCATGTGTTCGATTCTCACTTGTTGCCACCTTTTTCTGGCATTCTCTGTGCCCAGGTATTGACTCTGCAGCTTTGACTCTGTGCTTCCTCAATGCTGGGCATGTGATATTGCATGGGAGAATGCCAAAAAAAAGTTGCAACAAGCAAGAATTGAACTGTCAGGGGACGACTCCCAGGTCCCCATGACCCTCCCCTATGGTCCACAGTCTCAGGTGCAACCAGCCCTATCCAGGGCACAACCTACTGTGGGTCAGAGATGAGAAGGAAGTTAACTTCGAATCTTCCCACAGTGGCCACAATATTGAAAACTTCTGGGGATACCCGGAAGTCACATGAGACCTGAGACCCGGGACCCAGGGCATCCGGCCACATGGAGCATCTGGCACAGGGCATGTGCAGGAAGTGCAACAGCCAGGTGTGGGTGCAGGTGTGGGTGCAAGTGTGGGTGTGGATGTGGGTATGGGCTAGGTCAGGGTGTATGCCCTGACATGAACCCATGCAGCCAAAAAGACTGCATAGCCTCAACTCATGCTATAACATCTACACTACAGCACACCAACAACAGTTACAGTTACAACTAATATTTAAACCATTAATTTTACCACATGCCCAGGTATTGACTCCATGACCTTGACTGTGCTTCCTCAAGCTCCCAGGGTCGGGTTGGGTGCAACGACCACATGGGTTAACACTAAATGACTTGTTGCATGACCCTCTGCAAACTGGACTCTGGCATTGGTCATCATAATTACATGTACAATACAAAACATTTGAATCACATCACAGATGCTATTCAGTATTCCCTTATTATTATAACCCAGCTAATAGAGCACAGATTGAAGAGAAACTAAGTGAAATAACCACAACAATGTAATGGGTCTATCCAACTAGACTTGTGACTCAGGTCTGGGGGGGGTAGGTCTCTCTATATGTCAGGCAAGAGGGGTATATTGGTCTTCTAGAGTGTGGTGCTGATAACTCTAACAAACTATACAGCTTGTCACAGAAGAGTCTGATACAATAAGAAAAGGAAAGCCACATGTGTGAATGAATGAAAATAGTAATGAAAATAAGGAAACCACTGTATCTCCTCAACCACTCCACCAAATCCGACGATCTTGGGCTTGTTGGAACCACCTACCCAGTCCCTACTACTACTACTATTACCACGACTCCCCAATCCTAGTCCCTGATGCAGTAAGGGTGAAGTGTGCAATGGGGCTTGTTTTGGCCTGCACAAACTTGTCCCCACTACAGTGAAAGGGCTGAAGTATAGCAGCTCAGCTTATAGGCACTCCTGAGTCGAACTGTAGTGTTAATACACAAGTAGTAACAGTTAAAGTTCAACTCTGCAGTCATGTGACTATAAAGAGAGAAGAATAAAGGAGAAACAAAGGAAACAAGAGGTAGATAGACTAAAACACTAACAGACATCGACATCCACCTCCACTTCACCTCCAGTTATCACCCAGAAGGAGATGGACAAACTGAGGGAATGAACCAGACACTAGAACAGTATTTGCACATTTATTGCAATTATCAGCAAGATAATTGGGCTGAGCTCTTGCCCCTTGCAGACTTTGCTTACAATAATGCTCCCAGTGCTACCACTGGTGTCTCCCCTTTCTTTGCCAACAAGGGTTACCATCCAAACCTCTCCATCCATCCAGAACAAGATCTATCTTCCTTACATGCACAGGAGTACACAGTAGATCTTGACTCTCTCCACCAATTCCTTCATGAGGAGATGCACCACACCCAGATCCATTAGCAGGGTCCAGCAGATGCTAGGTGCATCCCAGCCCCTGGTTTCAAGGTCAGAACTCAGTCTACATTAAGGCCAAGCACTTCTGCTCCACCCAACCTTCGAGGAAGTTGTCTGAAAAGAACCTCAGACCCTTCAAGACCATTGCCCATGTGGGCACCCACTGTTAGATGTGGGTGATTTGGGTGGTTCTGGAAGTGGAATGGGAGACTCAATACAGGAGGACCTTGGCCTCAGCAACTCAGAAGGGAGCACTGTGCCACTACTGTTTGTCTATGGGGTCCTTAATTTCAGGATGGCAGGTAAGTCTCAAGGGCAGAAGTCAAGGGGGTGTCTGGTCACAATTCTAGACTGAGGTACAAACAATTATGTACATAGTCTATATAAGGGGAGACAGAAGACAAGAGAACAAAGGGAGATCCAAATCAGAACAAAGGTGTCCAAACAGAGACAAAGGGAATTTGGATTAGGAATTGCACTGAGGGTCAAGGGTTTGACTCTATGGTGCATCTGAAAGGAGGTAGGGAGGGTGAGGGCCCAGAGGGGCAGGAGAATGAGTGGAAATGGGGTGGATGCCTAACTGGCTAAATAGGAAGAAGCAGCTGTCCAAATAAGGGTGAGGGAGAAACATGAATCATACAGTACCAATGGCAAATAGGTGTCAGGGCACACCCACCTGACCTGGGCCCACCTCACCCGCTCCCCTGCTACCCATCCCTCTCCTTCCTCCTTCCTCCCTCTTCTCTTTCTTCCCTTTCTTCCCTTTTCTCTCTTTCCTCCCTTTCCTTTATTTCATTCTCTCTTCCTGTTTATTCCTTCTAGTTACATGGACCACTTTCCCTTGTATCATTGTACTGTTAACCCATCCAGCCCAGACACCCTGGACGGCTTCCCGCTATGCCCAGCATGTGTGCCTGCAGCAGATGCTCTCAGGATCCCCCTGTGGGGACACCCAGATGGCTGCAGCTGTCTCCGAAGATGATGTGGCACCCATCATGTGACCCAAGCTGCATGTACGTAAATGTACCTGAAGTGGGAACCAAAGAAGTAACCTTCTTCTCACCTTTTCCACTTCAGGTAAGTAGTGTAGTTTTCCCCTTTAATAACAATTCACCTTTTCCACTTCAGTCTAAGTGGCTGTCAGGGCACACACCCTGACTAGCCTGGACCCGGACCTGCGTCCGGACCCGCTTCCACCTGCCATGCTTCCCACATGCGTGCACGCTCTGCGCACCGCATGCTCCGGGCCCGGTTCCTACCCCCTCATGTGACTTCTGGGTATCCCCGGAAGTTTGCCTGATATTGTGGCCACTGTGGGAAGATGAGAAGTTAGCTTCCTTCTCATCTTCTTACCCACAGTAGGTTGTGCCCTGGATAGGGCTGGTTACACCTCAGGGCTGTGGACCATAGGGGAGGGTCATGGGGACCCAGGAGTTGTCCCCTGACAGTGGCCGGGGACTGCTGTCCTGCATCGGGCCTGCCAGCATGCATGCCCGCTTCGCACCCCAAGAGGGTCCCTCTGCCAGGCACAACATCCGGGCCCCCTCCACCCCGGACACGTCCCTGACAATAGGCCGAGGTAGGTCCATGGAGCTTGGGAGTATCTGTCAGGGCACACCCTGCCCAACCCTGCTCTGCCACCCTCTGCTCTGCACTGCCCCGCTCCCACAGACTCCTCTGCCCCCCCTCTCTTTTATTTATTTTATCTGTTTCATTCTCTCTCCTTCTTTATTCCTTTCTCTACTACACAGACCACCTTCCCTTTATCAATGTACCACCAGCACCTATGACCCCTACCCCACTGCCACCACTGCTGCCACTGCTGCCACATCTACTCCACATCTGACAGCGGACCCCCTTGGGATCTCCCACAGAGATGCCCAGAGAGGCCCAGCTCCATGCAAGGATGACATGGCACCTCCCACATGACCACAGCCACATGTATATAAACACAGCCAAAGTGGGAACCAAAGAAGTAGCCTTCTTCTCAACAGTTCCCACTTCAGGCAAGTAGGGTAGCTTTTCCTCTCAATAATAATAACCAACAGGTCCCACTTCAGTGGCCAGAGACACCTGCCTGCTGAAGGAGCGGAATTGAGAGTGCAGTTTTCCTGTTCCTGGTTGTGGGGGTGTGTACTTGTTGAGTACAGTGCTGTGTTAGTGTTTTGGTCGCTTTTCAACAGTTTAATGTGCTATAGAAAAATCAAACAATCAAACACCTTGTGGAGCTATTCAAATAATTCTGTCTGTCTGAGCCGACTCTGGTCTGTTCAACTCTCAGTCAGAATTCACCTAATTTTACCACTTTTTAGTTTAGGAAGTGATTACTCCTATGTGTGGAAAGATACTACTGTTTTTTCCCTTCACACTCACACTGTTACTTTTTGTTCAGTAGTAACAAACTGCTTCTAAGTGTCTTACTTAGACACCTATAAATCTCCTATCTCACTTATCACACTGTTGTTGCCTTTTGTACAGTAGCAAACTTAACTGTCTTATCACTTTTTCGCACTGGAGTGAGAACCAGAAGTGCTTGAGAGAAATATTACTCTATTTTCTTACTTCTCTGAGGGGCTGCAAAGAGAGCAAAATCATGGTCCTTTGATACCTTTCAAAACCTTTCTTTCCCATGCTTTGCACTATTTACATGCAATAGAGTATTTACAAGCTTTTGTTCTAGAAAGTGCTAATGACTTGCTCAGATGACTTAGTCAGATATGACTCAACCAAAATGACTTGGTTAGGTGTGATGGGGCTGTGTATGACTCAGTCAGGGTGTCATACAGTTCTGACTAGAAAATATTTCTAAGTAGTTGTTCATAGGTTCATATAATCCATATAGTGTAAGAATAATGTTCTTCAAAATATGTTTTAACATAAACAGTCCAAAAAAAAATGTCATAAAAATGTAATGTATCTCACCTAAGTCTTCTCATCCTTAATGTCCGATCCCCCTCGCTCTCAGCTTTCCATTGATACCAGTTTTGTCTGATTTGATGAAGATTTGATGAAGATCTGCCAATGTGCAGCTGTGGGAACATCTGGTGAATGTCCATGCACAGGGAAATTTGTGCCAAGACTGAGGCTGAAATGTGTGGTCACTCTCACCAGTTAAAGTGTTTAACTTGTCACATGACCTTCAACATGGTGTTGAATCCAAGTGATACACACATCCTTGATTAACTCCTTCAATTACTCTTTCCTCCCATTCCAACTTGCTATCATACAAGGGTCAAGTGTCCATGCATGTGAGGGTCATTCTTCAGTCATTGATGATGTCCTCAGAACTTTCCCTACACCACACCTGGGCTTGCCACCTCATACCCCTCCTGCCCCTGTCACTGGGTGCCATACCAAGACCTCCTCACCTTTGGAGCCATCCCTGACAGTATTGGAGCTTATGGAGGCAGAGTTGAAATATTGGCAATGGTGTTTACATGAAATGGTGTCACCAATGCAATGAACTTAAGCCAGGGTGGGGTCAAAGTCTGAGGTTGGGGACCAAGATGGGATCTCGGAGTGGAGGTGCAATCAGTGTCCAAGGTCAGGGTGTAGGATGGAATGGGGGGTCATACCTTAGCAGAGATTGGCAGGGGGAGCCAGGGGGAGCCAGGGGGGAATGGAAGTGAGGTCAGATCCAAAGGTGGGGATTGGAACAGACAGGGGTTGAGGTGAAACTCTGGAGGTGGCAGAAAGGGTCCAGGAGTCAAATCGGGATTGGGTATGTATGGATATGACACCCACTCCATCACACTCCATCTCCCTGAGTCATCCATCTGGTCTTCCATGTGTCTTAAATCAAGCCTGCCATTCCTAATGTCATCCCAAACTGCAACCAACCTCCACCTCCACTGATTTGTTGTAGTCTATTGTCAGGGGATGCACATGCTCGCACAGGATGCTCCGATAACCTAGTTGTGATTAAAGCCAGGGGAAAGGGATGTCCCCATCTTAGGGTCAGCTATATATGTACATGTAGAGTCCAGCAATAAGGAAACCAAACGGATTGCCGATAGAATCACGTGATCATAGAATGTTCCAGAACAATGCCGGAGATGATCCGGGTCACTGGGGCTTAGGTAAGCGGAGTAGACAGGAATTACTGGCATACTTCCCACATGCATATGCGCAGCCGGCTAGGGTCCAGGGTCATTGCTGATCCCTGACATCTATCTACCTCTTGTTTCATTTGTTTTCTCTTTATTCTTCTCATTTTAGAGTCACATGACTGTAGAGTTGAACTTTAACTGTTACTACTTGTGTATTAACACTACAGTTTGACTCAAGAGTGCCTATAAGCTGAGCTGCTATACAATTGTGATTGATGGACAACTGGAGTTCAAGATTGGAGAAATTCTCAACTCCAAGATTGATCACCATAGACAGGGTTGCAACATCAGCAAACTTGGTAGGGAGCTCTGTGAGCAAATTGAGTCTTTTTGCTGTGCACCCTCTACACACCGGGTGGAGAAAATTAAATGTTTGAATGATTTTGTTCTCCTAAGTGCAAAGATAATATGGATATATGTGTGTGTAAAATGGCCATTGTCATTGCTCTGAAAGTGTCAGGGCATACACCCTGACCTAGCCCATACCCACATCCACACCTGCACTCGCACTTGCACCCATGCCCGCACCCGGCTGTTGCACTTCCCATGCATGCCCTGTGCCAGACGCTCAGTGCGGCCGGATGGCCCGGACCTCAGGTCTCATGTGACTTCTGGATATCTCCGGAAGTTTTTGATCTATTGTGGCCACTGTGGGAAGATGAGAAGTTAACTTCCTTCTCATCTCTGACCCACAGTAGGATTGTGCCCTGGATAGGGCTGGCCAGACTTGAGGCTGTGGGCCATAGGGGAGGGTCATGGGGACCCAGGAGTCGTCCCCTGACAGAAAGCTCTATGAGCTCTATGAGCTCAGTGGGCTCATAGAGCTCATATACCTTTTGTGTTTACTAAAATCAGCACCTTATTTGTTTATTGGGATTTACAAAATATGAGGAAAACTCTGAAATTCAAAAATTTGCACTTTATCTTTCATCTCATTTCTTGCTCAAAACTCAACCAATTTTGATGATTCTATGTGAGGAATGCACCAAAGTGTGGCAATGTAACCATGCATGTTATGTAGGGTATAAATCAGTTTTAAAAAAGTGTTCCAGATGAAGTAAATTAAAAATACCACCCAATAAAGCAAACAAAAAGCTGATGTATTCTTCAGATATCATCCAAGCCTTTGACACCAAATTTCCCATGGTCAAAAAGCCATGGTTATTTGGCTCACCAAAACATGGAGGGAGAGTTTTCTAACACTGAAACATACATTGCTACATTGCCCCACTTTGGCACTTTCCAATGCACATTGAATTATCAAAAAAGTGATTTAATTTTTTTTTCCAATTATTCCTAATTTCCTGAAATATCTCTCCCTAACTTATCCCAAAATTTCTGATTTTCCCCCTAATTTCCCCTGATTTTTTGGACATTCTCCTTTTTTAGAAAGTCCCCCATTTTCTGAATTTTCCTTAAATTTCCCAGACTTTTTAGAAACCCCCCAGTTCCCCCTCAATTTTCCCCTCATTCCCCCCCAATTCCCCCCCTCCAAATTTCCCCATTTCCCCCCTTTAATTTTCCCCTCATTCCCCCCTCATTTTCTCCCTCATCCCCCCCCAATTCCCCCCCATTCCCCCCCTCAATTTTCCCCTTCCCCCATTTCCCCACTCATTTTCCCACTCATTTCCCCCATTTTCCCTAAGTAATTTCAGATTAACTGCATTTATATCCCTAAATTTGGTCTATATTGATTGGGCTACATACCCTTGGTGTGCAGTGCTGCATTGGTGCTGAAAGTTAAGCTGAGTTTGTTCAGTCCCTTGTATGGTAGGGACTTGGCTATGGCTAGTCACATGATGCCATAGTCAATGCTTTTAAATTTAAATTTTAATATCGGGTAAATTAAACACTCAGGAAGCTCATATAGATAATAGTCCACTGTGTGCAAATATAGCTCTATGAGCTCTATGAGCTCTCAGACCTCCACATCCAGGTTTGCTGATGATGGTAGCACATGGAAACTGGCCTGATCCCCATCCCCTGATCTGATCTGGAGAGATCTGTCACATCCTGGAATCTCAATCCCTACTCACCTGTTATAAGAGCATGTAATTGTCTGGAAGTGGGGAAGGGACTCAGTAAGGAGGGACCTTGGCCTCAGCAACTCAGGTGGAGTGCTGTGCCGTTGGTTTGTTGTCTAAGGTGGTCCTTAATTTCAGGTTAGCAGGGGGAGTCTCTTGGGGGACAATCCAGTCGATTCTGGTTCTCTAGTCATCGATTTCAGACTAGGGGTACAGGAAACTATGTACAGAGTGTGTATATAATAATACAGGAGTGGAGTCAGAGGACAAAGGGGACTGGAAGGAGACAAAGGGGGACTGGATGAGGGAACAACCCCAAGGGTCAAGGGTTGGAACTCTATGGTGCTTCCCAAAAGGGCAAGGCCAAGAGGGGAAGGAGTGGAGTGGGTTGTGGGGGATGACAGCTGACTAATGTGGAAAGGAAGCAGCCATCTAAATAAGGAAGAGGCAACAAGAGGATTAAATGACACCATTTTGTATTAGTGTCACAGCCATTGTAATGGGGATTTTATTGTATCTCAGCAGGACACCTCAGTCTGAGTAGCAGTTTAGTGTTATTACAGTAGTAAGAACAGTATATACATGAGGAGACTTGCCTGAGTAGCAGTTTAGTGTTATTACAGTAGTAAGAACAGTAAAGAGCGACTTGGCAGTCACATGACACTATATGGAGCACAGATTGAATAGAAAATGAAGAGAACTAACTACAACAGATTTGCCAGTGTACCATAAATGAGCCAAATCCTGCGATTCTACCATGCTCAACAAACTCCCCACATCCTCAATACATAGCACACACTCTCACCCACTTCTCATACACACTCCTTATTTTTCCTTATTTTTCTGATTCCATTTCCGGTGTCTAGAGCCCAATGTTTCCTTATTGTCATGTGATGTTCTTTCCTTATTGGTTCTTCGGACTCTTCCATGACTGCTGTACAGTAGCTAGAGAGTTATCAGCACCACACTCTAGAGGACCAAAATATACCCATACACCCTTTGCCTGACCAGTAGTGAGATTCTTATCCCCCCTCCTTCCTGTCTTGAGTCTAGTTGGATAGACCTGTTACACTGTGCATTCCGGCCCATTAGCCACCTGTCCTGATGCTGCCTGAGCCCGTTCCCGCTGTGTGAGTGTGAGTGCGAGCCCCAACCTCACTCCTATCCTCCATGCTCACCCTCCCTGCTTGCCCTAGGCTCTCCTGCACTTGGCCGACTCCCCCACAGCCACACCGACCTCCCTGCCCTGAGTCTGCCTCTGGCACCGTGCCTAGCATGACTCTGCGACATCGCCTACTCCACCTACTTGGCCCTCACCAGGCCACTGCCATCCCTGTATTGTAGTCTGAAAAAGAGGCCACACCAGGATTCGAACCTAGGACCATCCAACATATATTTGGAGGTGTTAACCACTACACCATATGGCCAGTAGCCATAGGCCTGTTCTCTAGGAGCAGATGGTCTGACCACAACACATCACAACCCAACCCCTCCAAATCAATATATTACATATACCTCCCTAGTTTCAGACCCCCAAAGTCTTCTGGACAGCACCAATGTCCACAAGCACAGTTCCACCCCTACCAGGCCCTTCAATTGCCTGCCCTCCAAGTCCACCCTCAGACCTCTCACCCCTTTCCCCTTTTGGGCAACCACCCACCTTTCCTTCAACCCTTGGCAACCTTACATCAGCAAAACCCAGTTCCTTCCATCCTTGGGCCCTTTGCCTAGTCCCCTGCCTGTATGGCTCACCCACCCACTGCCAGCCTTGTAACTGCAGATGCAAGAACAATGACGCACTAGAGACCACCCACCTGCACTTTCTGTTGTAGTTGATAGACCTATTAGTCAATAAAGACCTACAGGCTCCTAGAGAACCAGTTGTGGCCACATGGTGTAGTGGTTATCACTGCCAAATATATGGGGGATGGTCCCTGGTTTGAATCCTGGTGTTAAAGAAATGGGTTAAGGGCAATCCATTTCTTTCCGTCCTTATAGACGACTTAGAATCATCCACCTCATGTATGTAGGGCGGTTTAGTCGTGTAATTAGAATTGTCCGATGGCCGTGGAGCTTTTGACAGAAAGCTGAGGCCTCGCGGTGAATGGGAGTCTGTTACGATGGATACTTGGCGCTCGTTACGTGAGCGTACCGTGCGTGGGTGTATAGGATCACAGGTTGAGAGAATGTCCAGAGCGGGACTAGTCGAGGACACAGGGCTAGCGGGTACTTGGCGCTCGAGAGAGCGTACCGGTAGCGAGTGAGATAACGACTCCTTGAGGGAGCTTCCTGAGAATTGGTTGATGGGTACTTGGCACCCAATTGGGTGTACCGGCAACGAGTGAAATTCTAGCTCCTTGAGGGAGCTGCCAGAGGCTGGGTTGACGGGTACTTGGCACCCAGACGGGCGTACCGGCAACGAGGTATGAGACCGTTTAACTGGCGGACAGTCTGTATATGTGTCAACAGGTACTTGGCGCTCGTAAGAGCATACCGGTGACGGAGGGGTTAGTCGATCATAGGTTGAACGACACGTGGTGGGTTCGACGGCTACTTGGCGCTCACGAGAGCGTACCGGCGACGAAGGGAACGGGCTTGTATCAGATGTCCATCCATCCGTAGAATTAACCAGATGCTCACCATAAGGTGAGACAG